TTGCTGCTGTTGGTGTTGTGTTGAACAAAAAACAATACAAAACAATACAATACAAATAAACTAGAACACATAAGAAAGAATATAGTCCCTAACTTACCTATGTTCACTAAATTAACTCACCTACCTATGTTCAATTAGCTCAACTTACGAATTAATCCTACCTATTTGTACAATTACGAAGAAAAAAGTAAGGAAAAGAGAATAAAACATCAAGCAAACAAAACGAATATATGTATGTATGTGTGTGTGTGTGTGTTTGTGTGTGTGTATGTATGACCGCGCAATAATAATAACAATAAAATAAACGATCAAATCTAGAAATAATAAGTAACGAATAAAATAAACGAATAAATTTAGAAGTAATAAGTAACGAATAAAACGAACGAATAAATCTAGAAATAATATGTAACGAATAAATCTAGAAATAATATGTAACGAATAAAATAAACGAATAAATCTAGAAATAATAAGTAACGAACACGTCTAGAAACAATAAATAACTTAACTAAAATGAAGAAATAAAAAAAAGGGACCAGGCGCTAAGGGAATGCCACAAAGTGCCCGGTCGGATTTCAACGCAATTTTGGCTCCTATTTATACCAGTTCCATTCATATATTCTTATCATTTCAATCATTGACATCATTAAAAAACTTTATTTAACTTATATGAAACATTATTATAGGTGCTTAACAACAATATATTAACTATACAAGAATGAATTCTATACTAGTAGGAAATTAAGGAACGCCACCCTAACTTCCTGATTGGCTTATTTGGTTTGAAAACCGGATAACGTACACACGCAATTAATAATATTTTTATTTAATTATTAAATAGATTTATTATTTAAAAAATTATTTTAGATATTTGTATGCCTGTGTATTTACAATTGTACATATTTGTCGTTATGAATTCCAAATGTACTTGCCACCGCTCCTTACTTGAACAATTTTAAATTTTATATATGTACATGTAAATGTTTGTGTACGTCTATATATATTAATATACTCATTCATTTATTCATTCATTTGTTCGCTCATTCATTTATCCGTTCATTCATTCATTCATTTGGTCGTTTGTTCGTTCATTCATTCGTTCGTTCAACCATTCATTCATTCATTCGTTCGTTAGTTCGTTCATCCATCCAGTCATTCACACAGTTTCCATAGATAAGCTTAGTGTTGGAGTTAATTATTTAAATATATTTTTAACCGGATGGTTTTAATTAAAATTTTGGTTTATTTTATTTCGTTTAATTTCATCATTTCCTATGTCTATATCACACACCACACACACACACATACACACACACACAAACACACACAAACAAACACTAATTTTCTAATAAGTCTGTTTTTGTCTGTTTGCTGGTTTATTTGTATTGTTTGTCGATTTGTTAGTATGTTTGTTTTATTGTTTGTTTGTTTGCCTGTTTGTTTATTATTTAATTATATTTTTATCTGATTTAAATTAAATTAAAACTTTATTCATTTGTTTCATTTCATATGTATATCAGGCAGGCTATACACTTACTCACTCAAAAACACGTGCATATGCGTATTTATTTTTTTTTTGTACATCTGTTTGTATGTATGTTTGGTTTTTTGGCTGGTTGGTAGGTTGGTTGAAAGGTTGATACTTTGGCTGTTTGGTTGATAGATCGGTTGTTTCGTTGGTTGGTTGGTTGTTCGGTTGTTTCGTTGGTAGTTTGGTTGACTGTTTGGTTGGTATGCTCTGTGTGCGTGCGTGTGCGTGCGTGTGTGTGTGTGTGTGTGTGTGCGTGTCCAAGCTGGTGTACTTGAAACCGCTCCTTTCTTACTCTACCATTTATGAAAAAATTTTGTTTGTATATGTTTGTGTTTGTGTGTATTTGTTAATTTTTTGGTGACATTATTTGTTTGTTTCTCAGTTCGTTCGTTTGTTTGTTGATTTAATCATTCATTTGTTTTAGTAGTTATTTAAATTTGGACATAATACTTGGAAAAAAATTTGATGTTTATCAAATAAGCTGATTACCTAACAATAGAACGTTTTCAATGTCTATCACGCAGTTAAAATTGTTCTCACATCGTCAATGTTGTCGTTCAATCAACAATCTAATAATGAACGTTCCAAAATAATTCACATTTTGACTCGTTTCAATTAATTTCGACAAATTTCAACTTGAATTCGAGTGACTTTCAAGCTATAATTGCACTTACTCGGCTCGCGATCGAACCCTCTACGAGAAGGTCTACAGAAAACGGTCGGCACTAATATTGGCCGGACCGCTTGAAATCTTGATGTTTTCGATATATAGTATCATGATTCGACTGAATTGTTATCATTACCTGTGTATCACCGAACACACAGTATAGCACGATTTTTTAATGTGACGCTGATATAGTAACGAAATTAATATTAGCAATAGACAAAAAGGTCAGTAGCCATGCAGTAATAATACTTATTCAACGAGTTCGTATAATTACACCTACTTACATTACTTATACTTGCACGCACACGCACGCGCACATACACACATACATAAGCTACATAAGCACGTACATGATGATCGTACGATCAACCAACATATGGAAGGAAGTTTTTTAAATTTTATTAAATCACTTTGTTTTTAATATTTATTGAAAGATAAGTATTATTGAAACGGGATTGTTAATTCGGAACGAAACCGTTTGGGGAAATGACGTCATTTTAAAAGTAGTTTCACAGTACGTTAGTGAATTAGCAGAAATAAACATTGTATTCGATTCCTATAAATAGATAGATTGTGTAGTTATTAAATATATATATATTTATACATTTAAATTTTACAATTAAAGTGAAGTAAGGTGTATGGAGTCAAATTATTTTGAATTCTCTCGGAATAATTTGATTTGAACCGCGCGCGTACATACACATGTAACATTGATTTCTGTTGGTTTTATAATGAAGTTATATAAAAAATATATATAAAGAATTTATAATTTATGTATACAAATAATTACCAAGATTATATGTCTACATATCAATCAGAATGTTTCGAAGTTTGAGTAGCTCTGTTGTCAAGAATGTATATTAGTGTATTAAATAAAATCAAAAATCAATAACATTGAATCAATAAAATTTTTACAGATATTAATGATTGAAGTGATTGTAAGTATAATATATAAAGAAATAAAGTAAAAGAAATACATATTTTCATTTTTCTATAGTTATGTGAAAAAGGAGTGATCTCGATTGAATTTGAATTCAACTAGCTAAACGTATACACACACTCGAACCTTCCCATCAGGAAGTTCGTAGGCGGTCGTTGAATTCATTTTAGTATAGTTAATATACTGTTGTTAAACACATATAATAATGTTTCCTATACATTAAATAAAGTTTTTTAATGATGTCAATGATTGAAATGATAAGAATATATGAATGGAACTGGTATAAATAGGAGCCGAAAATGCGTTGAAATCCGACCGGGCGCTTTAGGGCATTCCCTTGGCGCCTGGTCCCTTTTTTTATTTCCTTATTTTATTTTTTAGTTAAATTGTTTATTATTTCTAGACCGTTCGTTACTTATTATTACTAGATTTGTTCGTTTGTTTTATTCGTTATTTATTATTTCTATATTTGATGCTTATTTTATTGTTATTATTAAGGCGCCGTCATACATACACACACACACAAACACATACATACACACATACATACATACATACATACAAATATTCGTTGTTTTGATTGCTTGATGTTTTATTCTCTTTTTTACTTTTTTCTTCGTAATTGTACAAATAAGTAGGATTAATTCATAAGTTGAGCTAATTGAACATAGGTAGGTGAGTTAATTTAGTGAACATAGGTAAGTTAGGAACTCAATTCTTTCTTTCTTTCTTACGTTCTAGTTTATTTGTATTGTATTGTTTTGTATTGTTTTTTGTTCAACACAACCCCAACAGCAGTAATCAAACACAACAATCAACACAATATTTTCGTTATATTTTAGTTAAGTTTAGTTTTGTTTATTATTTCTAGATCATTCGTTACTTATTATTACTAGATTTGTTCGTTTATTTTATTCGTTACTTATTATTTCTAGATTTATTGGTTTATTTTATTCGTTACTTATTATTGCGAGGTCATACATACACACACACAAACACACACACACACACACATACATACATACATACATACATACATACATATATTCGTTGTTTTGTTTGCTTGACGTTTTATTCTCTTTTCTTTACTTTTTTCTTCGTAATTGGACAAATAAATAAGATTAATTCGTAAGTTGAGCTAATTGAACATAGGTAGGTGAGTTAATTTAGTAAACATAGGTAAGTTAGGGACTCAATTCTTTCTTTCTTATGTTCTAGTTTTTTTGTATTGTTTTGTATTGCATTGTCTTTTGTTCAACACAACACCAACAGCAGCAATCAAACACAACAATCAACACAATATTATTTTCGTTATATTTTAGTTACGTTTAGTTAAGTTTATTATTTCTAGACCATTCGTTACATATTATTACTAGATTTGTTCGTTTATTTTATTCGTTACTTATTATTTCTAGATTTATTCGTTTATTTTATTCGTTACTTATTATTTATAGATTTGTTCGTTTATTTTATTGTTTTTATTATTGCGCGGTCATACGGACATACATATCGTTGTTCGTTGTTTTGTTTGCTTGATGTTTTATTCTCTTTTCTTTATTTTTTTCTTCGTAATTGTACAAATAGGTAGGATTAATTCGTAAGTTGAGCTAATTGAACATAAGTAGGTGAGTTAATTTAGTGAACATAGGTAAGTTAAGGACTCTAATTCTTTCTTTCTTACGTTCTAGTTTATTTGTATTGTATTTTGTTCAACACAACATCAACAACACCAATGTACATAACAATCAACACAATTTTATTTTCGTTATATTTTAGTTAAGTTGTATATTATTTCTAGACTGTCGTTTTATTATTAACCCCCTCATGAACGGCTGCCTTGACGTGGCGAGGGGGCTTCTCACTAAATGCCGTTCAAGTTAGTGCTTCTTCTTTACTTGTTTGTTTTCTTAAAAATGCGAATCTCTATCTTTTTCGTCGTTTCATTTTTTAGCGCACTCTTAAACATGGGTTACATTAGCATTTGCAACCCGTCTTAACCCGTCTTATTTATTAAATTTTATTTGATTTTTCTTAATCGGTCAGGTCACAATCATCATCATCATCATCGATATTGCAATGAAATGAAACTGAGAATTTTTTTAATTTTTGAAAATAGTATCTTTATTCATTTTATGTTCAGTAAGATACTGTTTGTTAAAAGCTATGCAATTTCATAAGACTATAAATCCAAGGAAGTCAAATAGTTCGACCTGAAAAATAAATGTCAAATTCACTTTTAAATTAATATTTTGAATTATCATTTGGAACTAGCGCCGGATTTAAATCTCTTCGTATATATATTTGTATAAATAATTTGTTTGGTACGTTCATTTAGTCATTGTGGTATGCTGTGAACTGTTTTTACTAAATGTTTATTTTATGTTTATTTATCCGTCTTCGACTATGATAGAAGAAACACGTAAAAATAATTAAATTAAATTAAGTTTTGCTTCCAGCAAAGTTTATAAATGGGAATAATCAATAATATGATAAAGCATAAGTATAATAGATAAAACATTATAAAAAAATACTGGTAGATACGTTCATATGAATTTAAAAAAATAATTTTCATAATTTAAAAGCATTTCTCAAATTAATTATTTTTATTTCGGTATTTTTGCAAAACTTCTTGTGTTTCTTTACATTTCTGCAGTAAACTATTCTTTAAGTTCTGATTCTGTGTGAAAATATTTATTCAATTTTGATTATTGTTTATAAATTTATTGGTTTTATATATATACTAGTATTATTTTTGAACTTGAAAATTACTTCAGCTTTTTCCTGCTTAAGAAGTAATGTTTTGTTCAAAATCTCTTCTTGCATTCTCAGTTTTTCAGTGATAAATTCGTCAGCAACTTTCAAGAGTAAGCTAATTCTTCTTGAGGTTGTCATTTTTTGCTGTATATTTATTTTTGGTTTATTGATGTCAATTAGGACTGCTTCTGCAATTTTAAGATGCGTGTAGTTGTTGCTCTGGTATATTACTTTGGTGTTGCTGTCGAGGATTTCACGGCTAATAGTGATTGAGTGTGTTGAGTCCAAATGAGATTGGATAGCACCACTCTGTTTATGCATCGTAAGCCTTCTAGTCAGAGAGGCAGTAGTAATCCCGATATATGAGTCATGTTGACGTGCTCAGCCGTCATAGGGGCAATTAAATTCATATATTATGTGATTACGCTTTAACACAGAGTTATCTCTAGGACTACAGTTGTTTTTCAGTATTAGGTGAGACGTCTTTTTATTGTTGAAATAAATTCGGAGTTTAACTTTACTATTTGGGTTGGTTGGTTGGTGTGACATTTTTATTGATGATATGTTAAGAATAGCTTCATCTACTTTGTATGCAGTTGACATGTGATTTCTGTAATACAAGATGATGTCGTTATCTTGATTGTTGCCATTGAGCTTCAAGCTGAAGCTAAGAAACAACGTGGTAGTTTTCAAAGCACACCACATGGTAGTTTTCAAAGCACACCACAGCTCACGACACCACACGTCACGACACCACACGACTCCACACCACACGACTCCACACCACACTACACCACACGACACAACACCACACCAGACGACACCCACCACATCACATGACACGTCACGATACGACGTCACACGACACCACACCATACCAGACGACACCAGACACCACAACTCACCACACCACACCAGACGACACCACACTAGACGACACCACACGACACGACGCCACACGATACCACACGACACGAAGCCACACCACAAAACGCCACACGACACCAGACGACATCACACCACACGACACCAGACGACATCACACCAGACGACATCACACCAGACATCACACCAGACATCACACCACACGATGCCACACGATATTACACCACACGACGCCACACCACAAAACGCCACACGACATTACGCCACACCATACGACGCCACACGACACTACACGACACGACGCCACACCACACCACACCACACTACGTTGTTTCGTGACGTGTGGAGTGGTGTCGTGTGGCGTCGTCGGGTGTGGTGTGGTGTCTTGTCGTGACGTGTGGTGTCGTGACGTGTGGTGTCGTATCGTGACGTGTGGTGTGGGTCGTCGGGTGTGGTGTCGTGTGGTGTCGTCGGGTGTGGTGTATTGTGGTGTCATGTGGTGGGTGTGGTGTCGTCTGGCGTGGTGTGATGTCGTGTGGCGTCGTATCGTGTGGTGTCGTGTTACGACACCAGACCACACACGAGTACTGAAGCTATAACATCGGTGTTGGTAGTTACGAGGTCGAAGAGGTTACGACACTGGTGTTGGAAGTGGGATCTTCAGGAGATTACACACTGGTGACAGAGGTAAGATTCCGATAGCTGGAAGCTCACTGCAGTACAGAATATCAGGACTAGAGAACTCAATGTAATTAGTCGACAAGAGAAACTTAACTACTGACGAATAGTTGTATTCCGTGATTTACCTGTCGATTAGTTATTGTGCTGTATTCTAACGATCGAATGAAAGTGTGATCGATTACGGCTATACACACAAGTGATTGCCAGCACTGTTTTCTTTCTAACAAAGTCATCTGAAATAAGTCTGCTTAGGAATCAAGAATCCACGTCGAGAGTTTAAGGGGTCGGTTATAACAATATGTATATAATATTTAGAATTTATAATGTTTAATTCATATTTAATTAAATCTAAATATATAAGTATATATTAAGAAATATCACATTTTTTGAATATTTCTTGATTTACTTTGTATATATGTGCCATAATTAGAATATATTCTATATATATATATATATTATGTATAAATAATTTGGTTGGTATTTTAATTTAGTCATTGTGACATGCTGCGGACTGTTTTTATTAAATGTTTATATTACGTGAATTATTCTCCGAGAACTACTAGGAAGTGTACGTAATATTAAATAATAATATTTTATTGGTAGATATTTTGCTATATTTGTTTGTTTAAAATACGAAATTTTTAAAAAATTTACATTTTCAAAATTTTAATTTTTCGTCATTTTTAATTTTTTAATATCAAATAAAAGCAACTATCGTTTTTCTCACCAACCTAAAATCTCAAAATTGTTTGTAGATATGTGCAATTAAATGCTCGTTCGAATTAGGCATATTTGTCAAAAGGCTCATTAATAAACGTTAATGAGATGAAGAGAATTGTAAACAAGATTAATATTTGGAGTTAACGTTAAAATTGGAGACAAAAGAATCCTCATTTTCCAATGACGTTGGAACAGTATTAAAATAATTTGTGTACTTTTCAATCTTTAAAAACGAATTTTCGTCGATCGCCCCCAAATGAGAAGACAATTTATCTCCAGTAGCAGTTCCAATTGTAGCTTCAGTAAAATTTGATTCGACACGTGATTGATTACTTGCTTGGTTGGAGAGCCCCGATTGGTTATTCCATCTTGAAACTTCTGCATTGTTCGATGCTGAAAATGAATTTTTATAATTCACGTCTAAAAATGCCAAATTATCAATTTTAGAGCTTATTTCACGTTGAGAGTCGTAATGGCCGTCATCGTTATTTGCACTGTCAGAAATGTTGGCCGATTTTGAAGGGATAGCAACGTCGGAAACGTTTTTGTCTTCGCTGGATAATGCAATTGGCTTCTGTTCCATAAAAATTAAAACGAAATAATCATGAAATAAAGTAAACTCATAACATAAAGTTATCACACTTTGACAACAAAGAATAACTTAGCCAACACTATTCATATCTTTAATGTATGACACAAACATAAACATGTCAATATTTTATAAAATAACATTACTGTGATACTGTAGCAATTTATACACAAATTCGACGCCTTTATCATCAACGCGCATAGACTTTAAAATGATGGAACCTCAGTTGCAGATTGATCAACTTGCTTTGACTGTATTGGTTTTGGTTTAAGTTGATTCCACTTTTCATCAAAAGATTCTTGATTAATTTGGTGTTTGCTCGATGTGAGATGGAGTAATGATATCCTTAACTCTCTTATTGATGGCCGGCTGTCCGTTTCGTAATTCCAGCACATCTCCATCAATTCATAACTGAAAAACAAGGACATAAACTGTTAGATATTTCATTTGTAGGTTTTATATTTGGCGCTAAATAAATTATCATAAATATGTTATCATTGTTATAATATACTTCAGTTCGCAATTGACACGTGACAACAACATAGAGACATCTACATATATTAGATAAAACTGTCAATACCAGCGAGCAGGAATAATAACAAGAGCTTGTAGGAATTTCACAATGTTACATAAATAGTGCTTAAATAAATTATTCATTGAGTAATTGATGGTAACAATAGAAAATCAACCAACAAATATGGAACATTGTCATTCAAAAGGAGGGGTCTGCTTAGTTTCACTTCCTTTTCCATGACAACCAAACGAAGGACATGCTGATCGGAAAGGCCAGGGTATGGAAGGTCACCGCATCTTAACAGCTCCCACATCAAAACCCCAAACGACCTACATTCAATTAGTCAATTGAAGAATTAACCAGTCAATGAGTTAATTAGTCATCCAACTAACCATATGTTGGACTTTTTTGTTATATCATTGACACGCAATCCATCTGAAAATGAAAGTGACTCCGGGGCCATCCACCTAATTGGAATTCCCACTCCATCACTATCATAGTAATAATCCTCCTGGCAGTGACGTTCACGAAATTAGCATTGATACAATAACGACGATTTTTAATGCATCAATTGATATTGTCTTGTCTTTAACCATCCTCGATCATAAATATGTTTTCTCCAATTAACTCTGTCCTGCGTCTTTCTCAGCAATTTTTACATTTTAAAATCCGTCAATTCTCTAATGCCATCAAACCATCTCATGAAACTTAACCCTTCCTCTTCCCTTTGACCCGGACAACGCTCCTTGTATTACATCCTTTTACCATGCATTGGTGTTTCTGAAGATGTGCTTAATGCAGCTTAATTTCCTCTTTTTGACTTCAGGCAGTAATTTTCGTTGAACTCCAGCCGTTTTTAGAACCCATTCATTTGTTTTTCTGTCTTTTCATGACACCCTCAGTATTTTTCTAAAAAATTTTATTTCAAATGCTTCAATTCTTCTTTCATCTTACTTTTTCAGTGTCTAACCATCCGAACCATAGATTGCTACTGGCCACACCAACGTGGGAGGTATGCGAATTTTGCAAAAAAAAAGAATTCAAAGGCAATGTCATACAATGAAATAGAAATGAAAAACAAAGAAATGCAATGGAAATATATTGAAAAATTAAAAATAAAAAAAGTCACCATGCCTTAAACTTGTATTCATTGAGCCCATAATCTCCAATCTTAACGGTCAGATCATTTGTAATAAGACAGCTTCTCATAGAGAGGTCTCTGAAAAAACATTTGTAGTTAAATGCATTTTTACAAACTGGTCTCAAGTCAAAATCAATCGATCAATTGATCAATCAATCAATCAATCAACTAACCAACCATTCAATCAATCAATCAATCAACTAACCAACCAATCAATCAATCAATCAACCTGTGAACAAAATTTATGTTATGGATTGCTTGCAGGCCAGCAACAACATCACAGATCATGCCGAGGATGACATCACCATCCAGCATCTTCTCAATGTTTAACTTTTGTCCTCTCATGTATGATTTCAAGTCCCCCTATAAACAATTATGTCATTGAATAAGATGATGATGGTGATGATCCACAAATCAATCAATTACCAGCGAACAAGACTCAAGGATGGTGAGATAAGGACTGGACTCCACGCACTGGCAGTAGAGTTTCAATACATTCCTGCTATCAAGCTCTCTAATAATACAAATTAAAATTAATAAATTGATTTGACAAGAACAACAAAATAAATATTTATAGAACAAATAAATACTTGGATAAACAGATGTACAGGCAGATCATTGAAGAAAATGAAAGAAAGATATCTAACTTGAATAAATGGAGAAAACAAAAATAAACTAACTTGAAAGCACTGGCTTCGTGAAGGAAGATGAACTTATCTTTGAGAGACATATCATCATGACACATCATCACAACGACTTTTAATTTCTTCTTACCTGGCTGGATGTCACTGCCCTCTCCTTGAAGCACCTGTTTCAAACAATCAAACCAAACAATCAATTAAATAATCACATTAACCAACCAATCAAACAACAATCCATAAAACAAACGAACTAACACACACACACACACATTTGCGAACCAACATGAACCTAACAAACAACAATGACCTTGCCAAATCTTGATGTTCCAAGTTCTTTTATGTATTGTAGTTGGCTTCTTGTAAATGCATTATCACGCAAACCTCAAGTGACGGAAATTTAAAAAATGATAACATGAAAACTAACAATGAGACCACAGAATTGAAGTTAAAATTAAATTAAAAAGTAAAGTAACCATGAATATAATCTAATTTCTTCCTCATTTCAAATTCTAAAAAGTCAAATGGAACTTTGTAGTTGAGATGTGCAATCTTTGGATACAATTGAGTTTCATTAGGAGATCGTCCAACAAATTTTTTCTGCTTGCTTCTGAGATCAGGTAGTGGTTCAAAATAAACTGATGAATTGTTAGCATCTGTGCTGTATACATTGTTGTACATGGAGTTGACCACTGGTGGGTACATCTGAAAACTAACTGAAGGAACAGTTGAGATTGCTATGTCACTAAAAAATGTGTCTTCATTTTCTAAATCCTGATCAGATGATTAAAAAGTTGTAATTATTCTCTAACCCTACCTTAACAATTACTAATATAATTTTTAGACCATATTAATAAATGAATAATAAACAATGACTATTTAATTAATTAATTAACTAAAGTTTCAAATGACAGATTAATTTTATAGCCTAATAATTTTAAACAAAAATAGACAATAAGACAATGATATGGATGGATGAGGTGGTGTAACAAATAAAATGAAGCACCATATCATATTGGATGACTGAAGGGCTAAAAAAGAGATAAATAAAATACTTTGAATGAGTTGCTGTGGGGAAAACACCTGCTGAATAATGACCTAAACCACAGGCATGACAGCAAGGCCAAAATAAGCGAGAACAACAGACCAACGCTAATTATCACATGAAGTAACTCGGAAAAAGAAAAACCATTTGCAGATAACAGGTAACTCATTTTTTAAATTTATTTATAAAGAATCCAAAAAAATAATAAAATAAAAAGACAACTGATTTATTTAATCTAGAAAATAAATTATAATGTTTGTTTAATTAATTTATTATGTTGTCATATATTTGCATCAGTTATGTAGTACGGCTACGACCCGATGAAATAGTTTTTACAAACAGACAACATCAACTAAAAAATTTGTAGTTGCGTATGTTTATGTATGCTTCAGCATCGTTTGTGTCCGTCCACTCCATTTGTGATATTACGTTAACATTAATATCGAATTCAAATAGTTTAAAATTAAATTCTCCACAAACGTCATTTCGATTTTTTAAACCTTCGATTTCGATTTCTTCACGGTGACTTAACCATTTTTAAAAACACTTTTATTCTAAATACATATCGACCGCTACCATGCTCGGTCTCGAAAAGCGATGCAACCGAAATAGTAAATTTTCAATTTGTGACTTTTTACGACTCGGAGTGCTGAAACAACTACAACCTCGCACCTCATTATTTTCAAGATAAACGCAAACGGAGGTTCTTAAAAAATTGAATAACCAAATAGAGCACAGTTTTCGCGATTAAAAATTCCAACGCATACTAAAGCAGACTAAAATTATAAACATCATTTAAACACAGCTTTTAAAAAAATGAACATCTAAAGTATAGTTGAAATGATCATTTAAATAAAAGTTTGCCCCGAGTTGTCCAGAGCAACATGAGAGTTATAGGAAGGAGGTGAATTAATTTCTGACAAACAGTTGTCATCTGCTTCATGTTGCTGGTGGTTCTGTTGATGGTATGGAGGGGGGTCCAGAAGATATGAGGGAGGAGCCATGACAACGGCTGCGTAGGGGGGTGGCTTGGGAAAATCGCCATCCAACCCATCATAATGACCCATCACAAGCCTTTATCATTTATTTACAGTTTTATTTTTTATCATGAATTTTATTGATTTAACGAATAACAAACGAGGTTATCTATTAAAAAAATGCATGCAACATTAATGAGAAAATATTTATTGTATAAAATATGAAATAAAAAGAGAAGCGACCAACCTATTTTGCATTTCTCTTCTTGATTGAAGGAACCTTCTCCTGGTAGCAACGAAAAATAGGATAGAGATGATGATGATGATCACTCCGAAACAGGCCATTCCAAGTCCTGCTATTGTGGCTGGCTGGATGTAGCTGCCCTCTGGGTACTTTAATGGACCGCCTTTATTACCATTTTGTATTAACATAAAATCAAAAAACATTTATAAACATAATCGTTGCTAGCTTAATTTCCATTGCAAAAAAGCGGGGCTCGGATAAAAAGGAAAAGATTGTTACAATATCATTAATAAAATAGAAAGTGGAAGAAAATAGGAGAGCCTGACCGGTCCTTGGGCAATTAATTTCGTCAGACGCATCACTACACTGAGGTACGTTGTCGCAATGCCAGCTCGCATCTATGCACTCCAAACCAGTTTCACAAAAAAATTTAGTTGGCTGATCACAACTTGAAGCGCCAGAATAGTCAACGGATGGACTTCGACCAAAAATACTGTTGTTGTAGCGATTGTTGCCGTTAATCTTGTTGTTCATGTCGTATTTATTGCTGCTGTTTTTAGTGTTGTTTTTGTTGTTGCCATTTTTACTAAAAATGCTGGTTAGGTCAGCAGAAGGGGGTATAACTAAGAAAGAATTTATAATGAAGAGTCATTTTATCGAATTATGCGATATTAGTATACTCAACAACTGTTAAATAAGAATGGCATTGAAACAACAAAGACAACAATGACAATAAAATAATTATTTTCTATTATTTATCATTATCGTGCTTATTATTACTATTATTATTATTATAACGTGAAATGTTATTGCATTACGCTCTGGTTAGATTTTCAACGTTTGAAATGTAGCCGGAGTGCAATGAAATGTAGCCGGAGTGCAATGAAATGTAGCCGGAGTGCAATGGATTATAGCCGGAGTGCAATCAAATATAACTATAGCAATCCAGCTGCATTTGATTGCATGCGAAGGCAATCTTCAGTTGCATTCTTAATTATTTTTATTCAGGTAGTCGGAGCCGATTATAATTATTATCATAATCATCATCATTGTCAAGATACCTAGTTTAAATTTGTCACAGCTAGTCAACATTAGTTGGATGTTATCAACTGCCAAATTGTAACCTGTGTAAGTCCAACCATCTAGCAAGACCTGGAAATTAGTTTGATATTCAATAGATTTTAACTAACCAAATAAATGAATGTCTAACGAAAATTTTTCAAAACCAGATATTTTAAATTAAAAAAGAAAGATGAATGGATGGATGGATGGAAGAATGAATAGACGGATATAATGGATAAATGTGTGGATGAGCAAATGATTAAAAACTAACAAAAATAATTTTGTCATTGGTGGACAACTTGATTTCAGCTTGAACGTCCTTCCAATCTTGAAAGCCACTGAAATCTTTTGAATAACTTGAAGTGATAATTTGGCTAATGCCACTCAACACTGTTATCTTCAAAGCAGCAGAACCGTTGCCCAAACCAGATAATTTGAATGACAAGCACATCACTGGCGACCTGAGCCCATTTACTGATCTACTTATCATTGATGATTTTTGACCTGGCTTCTTTGAACTATCAGCCATTACAATGTAAGAGCCCATGCCTCAATGATAATTGTTGAAAAGTTTTAAATTATAATTGAATAATAACATATCATAGCCCATTAAAAAAAACTATAATAAAAACTGCAGAGCTTCATTCAATGTACAACTCTCAATCTAAATTATTTCCTATGTACTTATCAGATATATTAATAATTAATTGAACCTAACTCGTTTTAAAAACTTTTGCTAAATCTGTGTTTGCAGAGCAGATTTCAAAAGATCTCAAGACCCATCTGTTAGCAAAATTCATTGAGGAGTGCTGTTGAACGTTGCAGAAAATGCGCTTTATAAACTAATTGATTGATTCATTTGAATTCATCAGCACAATTATGAGCAAAATAAAAGCCATCACCCTCAGCACCCCTTTGATTATTGACTAAACATACATAAATTTTAAGAACAAACAAATGGATAAAGATCACTACCCACCAGTTTTTTTCAAAAGCCAGGGTTGAGCGTTGTAATAATTCTTCCATCCGCACATCCCTGCTTCAAACGTGCATGATATGTCCATCCCTGTTTTAAGGTATCATTTAACATTATATGTACATGTAACGTTGTATGGGCGTGTGTATGTAGTGTAAACACACACACACACCACACATACACACACACACATATATATATATATGTGTGTGTGTGTGTATGTGTGCGTGTGTGTAAAAGGTAGTATATATTTAAAATCTTACCAAATAGTTGAATAAATGAAAAAATGAATGAGCGTATGAAAAAATGAATGAATGAACGAACGAATGAATGCAAACCACTGTGGCACTGCATAGGAAGTATTGCGATGTCATCAATTGATATGCTGCTTGCTTCAACACTAGTCCTCGTTCGGGCCTCAATTCTTATCTGTGCACCATTATCAACTGATTATTATATTTAATACTAAATACTAAGATTTATTATTACCGTCATTATAATTATTTAAACAAATTTTTCATTCATATAAAACTTGATTTCTTGTGAGCCAATCAGAATCAAGATCAATTTCAGCCATCAGCCAACGGCGAGCAAGACGGCCCGATCGAGTCCACAATGAGGTCAGTTGATTGGTCGGGCTGCTCGAATTCATGAATACATTAAGGCCGTCAATCTCATTGTTTGCAAAGTACCAGAACGTTAAGCAAATCGGCGATGACGATGAAGACGATGAGGAGGAAGATGACGAAGATGATGGCAACGACGGTGAAAAATGCGTTAACATTGGAAAACTTAAAACTGCAGGAATGCTCACTCCATCATTATTGTTGCTCACCGTTATAAAGTAGCCATCTGGTGTAATTAATTACCATTCTATTGAACAATTTCCTATAAATCATTTCCAAAACAATTTTTTACCTTTAAATAAATACAGTATTAACCATCAGACAAAGAATCAGTTACTAAAATTAAATAATTGTGTGATAAAAATTAAATAACACACCATAACTAAGAGTGGTATGATCAAAATAGGGGGATTCAACAAGCTTGTTGACTCTTTGCCAAGCAGTGTTTACATACAATCCACAGAGGCCATTCTCAAATGAACATGCATCCACAAATCTGTTTGATACTGAAATCAAGTCAGAATTGAAAAATAGTTTGAAATAGCCACAAGGAATTAGTAATATGTTGATAAAAGTAACATTGAAATGATGAAAACCTACTGATGCAGCTAGCGTGGAAGATAGTTTCATCTGAACCATCCGTACAATCAATCACACCATTACAAACAGCTCCCTTGGATGTTAACTGGCCATTGAAGCAGACAAAATCTTCTTTGTTTGAAGGGACATCTGAGAATGAGAGTTCACTTTATTTCACTTTTGCTTTGATAACAAAACTTTACTAACAAACCATCTGATAACTCATTTTTGTAAGGGAATGCATAACCATAAAAACCAAAATCAGAGCTGTAAAGGTTGGTCTTTAAAAATGTTGTCACAATTTTCTGGCCACTATTTAGATCAACTGGAAGCAAATAAATTAGTTTTCAAACATTAATTTTTTATATAAAATTGAGGAGATAACATTTGATGTTCACTGTTTAGGAATTAATTTTTGTAACAATCCTTTTTAAAAATAATACATAAGATTTGTATTAGAAACAATTCTAATCCAGACAAGTAAACTAACCACAAATTGTTTTAGAAAAAAGATTGAATTCATTTTTTTCACCATCAAGTTCACCATCACCACAAAACTTTCCAGTAAAAGGAATGTTAAAGTAATCATTTGCACAAAAGTTTGAATGTTTCACATGAAATCTGTAAAATGCAAGAAGAAACTGATAAATAGCATAGCAAGCAAGTTATCCAATTAAACTTTTTATAGAAATTCATGAAAATGAAAAATATTTATTTTTTGATAACTTTTTAAATGTGAAACAAAGTTTTGTAGTGTTGACATGGCTCATGTCAAAAACTATACGACAGTCTGATTGGTCAGTGTAGTTGAAAGGAAAATTAAAATGATGGAACAAAGTCTTTTCATCCCTTTGCACCTCAACCACTTGATCACACACTCTATAATCACCTTTTAAATAAAAAAAAATCATTATTTATAACAAAATGTTATTTAAAGTTCTGCCATAAATATTAAATATGTACATATCATCTTCTAAAAATTAAATCTCAAACAGCCAACCAACCAACCAACCAATGCTTATTAATTTAAACTTTAAATTGCCATAGTATTTATTTCTATTTCATAACCTTGCTTTATTTTAATTTTTTAACTAAATTTTCAACTAATAAAATAATTTTATAAATACAAAATTAAAAGTAAATGAAAAATATTAGTTGCAAGCATTCACTTTCAATTTTATTTAATAATCCTGACTCAAACTTACTAATAAATCTGCTCATGAAAAAAACCAACATTTAAAAAAAGTAATTGACAAGAAAAAAGACCCAGCCGTCTCAACCAAAAACCAAACCAACGAAGCAACGAAACAAAAACAGACATAGAACCAAACCTGACCCAAGGGACTCCACCAATATGAATAATAGGGTAAACGTAAACTGGAATAAAAAGGAAGCCGAAATGGCGATACGAAAAGACATAATTCAATTATTTGATTCTTATTATATCGCGTGAAACTATTTTTCTCATTTAGTCATCTGTTATCTCTCATTTAGATTTTTAGAACAAAAAATGAACGAAATATAAATAAAGACATACACAGGTACATTAAATAAAAATTATAATATACACAAAAAATAATTTGCACCTGTATCAATTGGAATAGTGATATTTTTAAACGATTTTTCAAGTTATTTCGTAATTTGTTAAAAAATGTCTTGCCGATATCGTCCGTTGTGTTTCAATCGCAAATCGTGAATATTTTGTTAATTAACGTTTAAAAACTTTCACGGAATGCCATTTTTAAACTTTTTATTTTAGTTCAACTTTTAAACATGGCAACCATCGTGGTTTTACGACAGAGGTTCGATTCGTTTTTAACAATTTATAAGATTTTGTTTGTACCAATTAATTTATTTTAATATAATCTGTTTAAAATAATTTGGTTAAATTAATTAATTTATCTATTAGTTCTGTCTAAATTATCCGTATTATTCTATAATAGCTTTGTTGACCTCATGTTCTTTTCCTTTTCTTTCTTTATTATTCTCTTTTCTCATTTTCTGTCTGTCTTCTTATTCATTTATCGTCTTATAATATTCAGATAATACTTTTAATCGTTATTAAAAAAATTAGGAATTAGAGAGGTGGTCTCTGTCCAACTTGGCAAGGCATTCATACATAACATAATAATATAACACAAGTATTAGTCAATATTTTCACTGTTACTGAGAATGATATCAGTGGTTAGGACTTAGAAGTAAAAGTAACGGTAAGTGAGATAGAGGAAAAACATCAACATTCAACAATGTTTTTTAACTACTTCATCCATTGTTTGAATTCAAGTTGGTTGATTTGATTTTTTATTACTAAATTTTTTTTTATTCATTTACAAATTAATTCATCACATTGAATTACTTACAAATTAACAAACATTGACCAAACAGGATACTACAGGTCTCTTCTTCTCAAATATAGCATCATCTCATCCGTTTTTTTCAGTTTGTTGTATATCCAAAAAAGTAATGGTTGGTAGATCAGTTGATTGCATATTGTGTTATTTATTAGATCAGATTATTAATATTTGATTTATTAGCGTATGTAATCAGATGTAATGTTATGTTTACGTTGTCTTATATTTTAAAATTTTTTCAAAAATATTATTAATTTGGTATTTGATTAATTATGAATATAAAACTTATTATTTTTTTAAATTCAAAAATTTAGATAAAGTTGTGGAACATACTGGCATACAAGAGTTCATCATAATGCCTGACGAATGTTTAAATTAATTTTTAAACATTTTTAATGATTTTAATAAAATTTGTGATTTATTTTTAATGTTATTACTATTGATTTATTTGAAAACATTAAAACATTTTAAAATTTAAGATTGGGCATGAGGATTGTAAATTATTCACATCGTTTCATAAAGCATCTATTTACTGATCAAACGAGCACAAATTTGGCTGTTGGCAGTAAGTATGAAGTGCTGCCTACTCTTATTGTTCACTCCAACTGTACAAATCTAACAAATGCAGTCTTACTTGGTTGCAACATTTTTACTAACTTGGAAACCACACCCCAAACGATGTGTACACACATTTTTGTGTTGGTGTATTGCATGCAAATGGTGCGCGATAGTGTTTGATAGTGTCAGCCATTTATTCAATTCAGCATGAACTAAAGAAATTTTTCTGATCTGGAACATAATTACTTTAAAATTTACTTTTAAACCACAAAGTTTGCCAGGAAGTGGACTGCGAAAATGCCAGCATATCGTTGAGCCTGTCAGTCGGTCGTGGAGATGGGGATGTCAGTTTTATATGCTTTAACAAGACCATGTTAGACCCGTTGATGATGATGATGATGATGGTGACGATGACGATGGTTAAGATCAAATCAAAAATGTATTACCATTTAAAAGTTGAATTGAATACTTGAAGGTTGCTGGAAGCCTACACCAGTGACGTCATCATGTTCGTCCTCATCGACTGTTAGAGTCCTCTTCTATTTATTTATTAATATTATTATTATTATTATTACAAATTAATAATGTTTTTTATTATATTACAGATGATAATCATGTGTATTTATGATATTATGTTTTGCTTTTTCACGCAGCTCTTTCCATGAAGCCGCTGGAAGCAAAGAAGTTTGATGTTTCTTCAAGTGAGACTTCTGCCTTCGTAGTCTCATTCATCAGTTATTTTTATTTTAATAATTCAATAAAACGGCCAACCATGTTTAATATTAGTTTATAGTTGGCTCATTCATTCATTCATCATTCATTCATTCATTTATTCATTCATTCACTCATTTTTTATTTATTTTTTAATTAATAAAATAATTCATTCATTCTCAAACATACACAGGCTTTAAAAGTGCAGTCAATATTCCTCACAATGCTTTTTTCATATTGACTACGACACTCATGACAGAGTTTGTGTTTGCATAAATTCATTCATTTATTCGTTCGTTTAATCAATCGTTCAGTCAGTCATTCATTCATATATTCATTCATTCATTCAGTTTTTTGCTGTTGATGCGAGTTATTGGAATAAAGTATTTTATATATCTTTTAAAATTTTTATCAAAGACGTAGACATGAATGAATGAATGAGTGTATGAATGAATGAACGAACAAATGGATGAATGGATGGATGGGTGAATGAGCGAAAGGGTGGATGGTAATGTATATTTACACCTCCAGTTTGGCTGCATTCGACGATGTGATGGTGCGATGGTTTGCATACAAAATCAATCGATCTTCCGTGAAAGGGTCGACCGATCATTTGCATTCCTTTGCATTCATTGGTATGCGGTTGCCTGGCACAAACTTCAACATTAAGTTACTGGTCGGTCGGTTGGTCGGTCGGTTGGTCGGTTGGTCGGTTGGTCGGTCGGTCGGTTGGTTGGCAAATTGTTTAGACTATTTATAAGTAATGATGATGATGATAACAATGAAATGACAATATCAATAATACTGACAATGAGGATTATGATGATTAATGGTTATAATAACAATGCACAGAATGCAACATCCTCATCGTCTTCATCATCATCTGATAAAGTATCGACGACATCTTCATCATCTCCATTGCTTCGAGTGAAACTCACGAGCTACCTTCATGCATGCATCCCTTACTTCACTGGTCATTCATTTATTCGTTCGTTCATTCATTCGTCCATTCATTCATTCGTCCATTCATTCATTCATTCATTCATTCATTCATTCATTCATTCATTCATTCATTCATTCATTCAATCAATCAATCATTTCTTTGTCACACTTTTTAAATTTTTAAATTTAATTTAATTTTCTTTCTTAAATTAAAATTTTATTTTACTATTTTTCAATATTCTTTAATTAATTAATCATATTTTATTATTAATTAATTATTGATAATTGATAGGCTATTCACAGTGCACGAGACCGAAGAACTGTGAAACGAACCATGGCGGTGATGATGATGGTGGTGGTGGTGGTGATAGTCATATTAGCAATGAGGCAGTCCCATTTTTTATATCAGCTGGCTACTTCGCTTCTCACCCATCCATCATCCTCTGCTACAACCAAACCATGTACGCTGGCATGATGATGATGATGGTGGTTGTGATGATGATGATGTTTGTGGTGATTATGATGTTTCTATTAATGATGATGATGGTGGTGATGTTTGTGGGGATGATGGTGATGGTAAATGATAAAATTTCAGATTCGTGGGGCCGGACGTTTTCGCGAACAAGTCATCATTTATACTGATAGCAAATGGTTTGTCTTTTGACGATGATGGTCATAGCGATGTTGTTGTTGTTGATGAAGATGATGACGATGATGATGATGACGGCGATTGTCACAACGACAATTGAGTTAAATTGAATTAATTTCAGAAAAGACGCTGGTCGTTGAAGAGATGATGAAGTTCGACATCCACTATGACGGTTCTTAATGATGTTGGAGATGACGATCGAGTTGTTTTTGCTTTTCAAGTGTCGTCTTTTTATGTCTGACGTTTTATATGAGTTTTTATAAAAGTCTGTTCTGCTTTCGATGTCGCCGTGACCTTTTTACGTTAATTCAGTCATTCATACACTCACTCATTCATTCATAGTTCATTCATTCATAATTCATTCATTCTTCTTTTGATGCCTTCTTGCACATTGAACGAAGGTCAAGAAGTAACAAAACATCTGAAAAGCATCACAACCAATAAGATCATACTGTTCGCCACCGAAGCAAGCCGCTTACAGTAAGCTCATTTATTGACTTTTTCGCTCAATCATTCATTTATTCATTTATTTATTTATTTATTTATTTATTTATTTATTTATTTATTTATTTATTTATTCATTCATTTATTCATTCTTCCATCAATTTGCTCGTTTCCTCCCTCCAGCTTGCACAGGGGAATGGTAAAAGTGCTGCAATCATTTGGAAGCAGTATGATCCACAAACTGGCTTCCAACGACACGTACATCATGGTCGGCCAGAAGGGGGTTCATAAGGGCTCTGCTCTGGAGAAGGTAGATGGGTGGGTGGGTGGATGGATGGTTGGATAGATAAATAGTTGGATGGAAAGATTTATAGATAGATAGATAAATAGATGGATGGATGGATTAATGGATGGATGGGTTAGGGTTGGGGTTAGGTGGATGGATAGACAAATGGATAGATAAATGGATTTATAGATTAAATAATGCATATATGTAACATACAAACGGATGCTGATCTAGAAAAATGAAATGAAGCTTATGTCAAATTTTTGTTTATAGTTTAAGAAATACTATCAGTCCGTGATAGTGCAGATGAGTGGCTGTATCAGTAAATATGGAGGTATGTATTTAATTTAAACTTTTTACATGTTGTTTGATTTGATGATTAGAATTTCTATTTGTTTATTCATTCATTTATCTAATGATTCGTCTCTTCTTTTTTATTGTTATTAACTCCAAAGTGTGATAATGTTTGTATGTGTGCGTGTGTATGTGTGTGTGTATGTGTGTTTGAAGCTGGTAATTGTTTGCAGTTGAAATGAAAGTTTCTTTTTGTTGCAGTTGGGGAGCTGAGGTTTGTTGCACCGTCCATCATTTCTCCGGGCTACTCTTTTATCGTTCCCCTGAAAATATTAAACAGCAACGACAACAATGTTGATAGCAACAGCAGCAACAGCAACAATGTTCATAGCAACAGCAGCAACAACAACAGTATCATCATAATTGATAGCAAAATTTCCGTAATGGTTGATGCCAGTCGCACAGAAATGAGTTTTTATAAACTGACGTACCACTCAAAGATTTATGCGAACATTAAAAACCTGACAACCAGCTTTACGAGATCACGGTCGTCATTAGCATTGCCGCTGAAGACAAGCGTGGAAGATGAGTCATTTTTCTCGTCATCTTCGTCATCGTCATCTTTGTTAACGGAAGTAGAAGATGAAGAAACTTGGGAGAAAAAAAAAGAAAAGAAAGAAAATGAGAAAGGATTGTTGCCCAGGTGCTCGGAGATCATCTCATGTCCCAAGCACACATTTGCCCTCAGGGTGTTCACCGGTGTGCAAAATATTGTTAAGCCCGCTGTCTGCATTGATGGCGTTCTGTAAGTCTGTATGTCTGTCTGTGCCTATGCCTATGTATGTGCATGTCTGTGAGTCCATTGTACGCTGTATTTAGTATTTAGATAAGTGTGAGTGTGTGTGTGTGTCTATGAATGCACGTACATACATGTATTTGTATTTGGTAATGAAATTACTATGAATAGATAGAGAGACTAATCTGTTTTCAGCTACAGTAGCCGGCTGTTTGGTCGTGGTTTGAACGTTCTTGTTTACCAGCCGCATGCAATGCAAGTTGTTAGGACTGCTCATTTTGATACTTACTCCACTGGCTGTTAGTTTTTTGATCATTTAGTCACTTATTTATTTATTCATTCATTCATTCACTTACTCATTCATTCATTCATCTGTCGCTCATTTATTCACTTTCTTCATTTTTCATTTTTTCTATTTTTCTTTCAAACAATTTCATCGTTTGCTAGATTTTAAACTAATTAATTGATGCAATTTATTCGTTCATTAATTAATTGATCTATTGATTGATTGGTTAATTAATTAATTAATTAATAGCTGCTAACAAAACAGACACATTCGCACACACATCTGCTCACCTGAGATTCGACAACACACAACACAACACAGCTGACGGTTCAGCACTGGAATTTTTCAAAAATGTCCATAAAGATGAACTGATAATCGTGTTCACACATGATGATGCTTTCTACAAGTTTGTTATAATGATCATCATCATCATCATCAATTCAGTGTCATCATCATCATCGCTTGATCACCATCATTTTCTGTGTTTATATCACATCGTCACATCAAACAGTTTGAAGATTGAATTGAAGCACCAGCTGATGAAATTTGGAAGTTACTACATTCACCAGCTGCGAAACAGAAATGCCTGGCTTCTCATTGGTCGATTGAATTTGACCTTGAACTCTCCTTATGAATACGTCTGTGCTCATTAATATTTATGAATTTTTTCTGCCTCGCTGTTGTTTGCTTGACGCCCTGCTCAGGGCGCTGCATAAATTATGTACAAATTAGGATATTATTGTAATGATCACAGCTCCTTATTTTTACAAAACTCATGCAGATAAAGTTTTCAACATACGGAAGCTATGATTGGTCAGAGCCTGTTAACATTAAGGAGTGCATTAACAAGTCCTGTAAGCTCATTTCGATTCGTCATTCTATTTAATCTATTTGTTGAATATTCTATTCAATCATACATCCAACTTACCACTCATTTATTCAGTCATTCATCTGCTGCTCACTCGTTCATTCACTCGTTCATTCTATCTTTCACTGGTTGATGAAGTTGTAGGAACATTGAAGAACAACATGGCAGCGCCAGACGTGCAGAGGTTGCATTTCTGCATCAAACATTCGCTGAACACTGGCCTCTGCTCAAGTTAGAACTTGTTTTGCTCGTCAAGACGGCGTCTGTCGTAGTGACGGCGACGAGGACGACGACGACGGTGATGTAAGGAATGATGATGATGATGTATAAATGCAGGTTTCAATGTCTGGCAGAAATTTGATGTGATGCCCTTGCAAAACGAAAGAATTCCTTCAGATCACCAAGTCTTCCACATCCCCATCATCATGTTTCTCAGTAGGTTTCTTCCATCCATCCATTTATCACTTTTTGTCTGTCTATCATTTATCCATCCATCATTCGTCCATCTACTTGTCCATCAATCCATCCATCTATCCATTGATGCAATGCAGGTGAGAACAGAGCCGTTGCTATGATCCAACTTGAAAGCATGTTCTTCGTCAGTGGATTGAATAGAAATAACGTTCATGTATGTTGGTTTGCATGTTTTTTAATGCCTGCACTTGCATTAGGCTCTACATACATACTTAATTACATAATGATTGAAAGCATTGTTGGGTTTGAATGTAAAGAGAACCCTACGTGCCATAGAATGATTGTTACTGTATGGCACGCACGACACACAGGTGCTCATAAGAGCAGGAGACACGCTGATGGAGGAATTGTTGAACCTACACTCATTCGCTGCTCTCAAGTCTTCAAACTTCTCTTACCAGTCAGGTCTGCTGCTGATGATGATGTTGTTGTTAATGATTGATGATGATGATGATGGTCACGATGTAATATAAACTTTTATTCCACATACAACTCGTGTGCAGGGCTTCTTCATGCCGTCAACTACATTTCAGAGAACTATCCCGCAGCCGTACGTTGCTGACACGCTGTGTTCATTATGCCAGTGAATGATTGGTTGATTAAATAAACAACTGAATATGAATGAATGAATGAATGAATGATGCTAGTTATTTACTGAGTGGTTGATTGATAGATACTATCTATCATTAGATAGATATCAATCTATTTGATAGATCAGTCATTCAGTCAGTCATTCATTTATATATTCATCCGTTGCTTCTTCTTGCTCACCGACCTGTTGAAAATACAGGCGGATATGATAGTAATAGAAAGAGGCGTCGTCGTCGGGCAGCACTACCTGGAGTACCTGGCCCACCTGTATGCGGTCTACAACGAAGATGACGTGGTGTGCTGCATCAACCTGTACAACCAGTATGGTAGGTTGGGGCGGTTGGTCGATGGATGGATGGAAGATTGAATGAGTTAAATGTCTGGCGAATAGATGAATGGATGAATTGATGGATGATTGGTGCAGGTTTTATTGGGGTATCATCATGGAGGCAAGATTTAATCTATCGGACAAATGATGACCATGCCCCCTCCACTGCCTACCTGGCCAAGAAAACTTATCTCCAATCTCTAGGCGTCAAAATGTTTGTATTGTTTACTTTTATTATTTTTATTGTTTGAGCATTTATTTGCCAGCCAGCCAGAACGCAAATATCATTCGAAGCCTTTACTTTGCCAACATATTCAAATGCTCGTGATATTTAAAACATTTACTGGTCAACCATTCAAATCTCTTATATAATTTTTTTATTTGAAATGTAGGCCTGATAAAAAGAACTTTGAAAAGTTGCAGCCAGACGTGTCAGTCGTGGCCATCCACCCCCTTCAACTCCACATCAACTTCAACCAAACCACCTCATCCACCTACTCAAGAAACACCAACGATGACGTCAAGCAACTGGAGAGCAGTAGATTGAAACACGAGAAACGTAGAAAGAACGAAAGCAATTTTCTCCATGCCGGTTCCAATCCAGTATTGAAATCTTCGTCGTTGTTGGCAAAAACAAATTTAGGCAATAGTGATCATTCACATTTGAATTTTTTAATGTTAGCTACTTTTTACTTTTCGTTTTTACTTTTTTTCTTTTTACTTCTTCTCTGTCCGAACGCACACAAGTACGAAAGTATATCTATCATTTGACTTTATATGCACGCGAACATAAAATACAATACAAAGTGCGCCTACAAACATTCACATACTTTAGTACAATATACAATACAGAAGCATAGAAGCATACATAAAACACAATACAAACTACGCCTAGAAACATATGTACAGTACAAAGAAACATGCACACAGAGACTTCCTGTACTCGCAGCTTAAATTTGATGCTAGTGCAGCGAGTGGGAAGAGCAATGGGATCGATGCGTTACCCGACAACAACGTCCTCAGTGCCATCCGAAATGCCATCAGCAACTACATTAACAACAACACCAACGACAGCATCAAAGACACAATCAACAACATCATCCTCAAAAACATCATCACCGACAAGAAGAGCGTCAACAGAGTCTATGTTCCAGCCCATCTGAACAACATTAAAGTTTCCGCTCATGCTTTGTAAGCTACTCTGTTTTACTTTACATTCACCGTTAATATTCGAGCTGACTATTTTCTCACATTTTTATCAAATTCCATTTACGTTTAAAATCTTTTACTGGCGTCTAGTTCGATTCCATTTTTTGATGGCCAAGTCATTAACCATAAATAAAATTAAACAATTACTATGCAGAGGATTCATGCACCCTCCTTCTAACCTCAAGTTTCTTCCTCGAGCAAGATACGACCAATCACTGGAGGCCCTCGTAAGATCGGCTATTCTCATCGGTCCAGATCTCATCACCCATATATGCTCCAGTCCCCCGCCTAAATTAAGGAGGTTTTAAAACATGATTTATTTGTAGTTGAATGTTCGAGTGGCCGTTATTATTTTCCTTCCAGTGGTCTGAACTATGTGATTATATACGAAGCGACCGAGAGAGTGGTCGATGGTGAGGTTAGGGCGGGCTTATCACTGAGGCAGTTGTTGTTCTGTTTCAGTCTCATAGAACAACACAGCTTGCAGTCTGCCGTCACAGGAACTTACAACTCTTTATTCAGGTCATTAGCTTTTCTTATTTTTTTTTTCTTAACTGAACATTAAATTAAATTCAAAAACTATATTTTATTATTGAATTGATGTAAATTAATTTTCATAATTGTTGAAGGTTCACCTACAGTTCGAACACGGAAGTCTTCCTGGTTGGCTCTAAATCCATTTATGTACACTTCATTAAGAAGTCATTTGAAACATTTGTAAACGATTCAAGCATAACTGAAACATGATGTTGGCAAGGTAGCTAACCGTTCAGGCACATTACGTCCGAGTGGTGTGTCGTTCGATAGGAAACTTAAGTCTACTTGTTCGTTCTAACTTTTATTTAAAATTTATTGATTTCGAACCGTTAAATAATTATAATGTCAATTCTAAACAAATAAAATTTCATTTAAATTGAATAAAAACTGCAAAGAAATAATTCCATTAATCTAACAAAAATGTTATTTTACTAATTAATTGGATGAAGAAAAAACAATTTTTTAAAAATTGGCAAACGAAATAGTGAAAATTAATCTAAAATTCAGTCAAAAAAGTATTGTATAGGGTTGGTTGTTGGCAATGATCCAGTGCAGAACCATATAATGACACGAAACATGATTTACACATATACAGAGCCGCAAAGTTCGTTCGTAGACACACGCGTATCCCTGCCTACAAATGAATACACGTACCAAAAATAAATCACCTATATAACCAAAATAATACAAAAAAGAAGGAATTATTAATTCTGCAATGTTTAGGAGTAAAAAATGGCTAAAAATTGCACGAAACGTACAAATTGCACGAATCACGTACGTTAAATAAATTATATTATATAAATGAAGTGTGAGCAAATTTCAAACAAATCGGTCAAGAAAATAAAGGAACGAACAAATTAAAGAAAGAACGAACGAATGAATGAATGAAAGATTATAGGAACGCTGCATCTGAATCAGAGAGCATCTTTCGGAGAGAGATTTTTGAGAACTGGCACGGCACCATCGCTTTCGACGTCGCCATCGCCATTGCTCACTTCAATCACAGCTGCAACTTTCCCTGACAACTTTCTCTTGTACGATTCATTTCTTATCTGTTCAATTTTTACATCGTAATTTATTTTTTAAAGTGTAATTTGTAAAATAGAATGAAATGAAAAAAATTTCCAATAAAACTGAAGATCATAGACCATTGTAAATTAATAAATAATAACTCTATCAGCCGGTCCCCAGTCGTGCGTTGGTTTGGTGGCATTCTTTAATCTCTGTATGTCATAAATTAGGTTAATTACGTTGAATCATTTGAGAACTCAACATAGTTATAATGTTAGCACCGCCAGCACTAACAAATTAACAAGCACATTAGCTTAAGTTGATGACATCCACGACAGCAGCAAAACTAGTTGCAGTGAAAAAATTCACCAGAGGTAAAGGAGGACTAGGAGTCCGTGTTAGACTCATCGAGCGAGCACAGCCATGATAACAAAAAATGCAACTGTTAAAACTTAAACGTAATGTTTCACATATTTACACTGTTAACACCAAGGGGCAGACACAGTGGAGGAGGATCTAGGGGTTGGCCGGGGGCCGTTGTGCGCGGTTAGTAAAAATCAGTGAAACTCACCTTTTAAACGGAAAAATACTGATTATAAGCACTGAAAATTAGCGCGATAAGGATGAAAAAGGTCGCCAGTTTAAAATTAGCCGCACTAAACGAACATTTGGATAATTTCTTGAACCCCGGCAAATTTAAAAAAATGTTGACATTTTTCACATTTTGGCTTCCCGCGTCAACGATGTCTAGATACGCTCCGCCACTACACACCACACACACACACACACACACACACACACACACACACACACATCACACACACACACATAAACCTGAACAAAAGAGCCCTTATGTTTAAAAAGCTCAATGATAGCCATAAGAGGAATAACGAGAATTGAACTGAGAGCCAAACATAGCCCCATGATAATGGCCCATGTTGGGTAGGTGTAATCACCGTAGGACGCAGGAGTGTGTGTCACGATGTTCGTTATGAAGATGAACTGTTCATGGTCATTTGTTCGTTTGTTTGTTTGTATTATTGTACATTATTATTATTACATTGAGTTGATGGTGAACGAACAGTTTATTTAATCAATCAACTAATCAATGAAACAATGAGTAAATGAAGCGAATAATTTAATTTAAATATAAAGATGATGTCGAAAATAATTAAATTCATCACCGTGATAAGCGTGGGGGTGATGGCTTTCCAACATATAGCCCACCATTTTGAAGGGGTCCGGCCGAGCATCATGTGCATATCGTGGTAGAAACGAGTCGAACCGTAGATCCAGGAGATGGCGAGGCATTCAATCAATGAGAGGACCATTAGAGAAAACGTAGAACAGTACCAATCCATTATTTGAAATACATATATACCTCCCTACGGTGTTTCAGTTTTTTGTTGTTAGTAGATGAATTAAAAAAAACTTTCCTCTCTGAAAGTTTACACATGACAGAGAGAGAGAGGAGAAAGAGAGAGAAAAAAGTGAGAGAGAGGGTCATTGAATGAACCTTAGTGATGCACGCAAGACCGACGATCAACTCCAAAAAGCAGAGAACGCCAGTGAAGATGTACTTCTTGCGTGTCAGTGCCGGGTAAATGTCAAATATGCTGCTCAGGACCGTTTCAAACATACCAAACTGAAGAGTTATGTATATAACGCTATAATTTAGTGGGGTCTGATACACTTTAACATTATAAAATGAATAAATCTATCAATGGATGGATGGATGGATGAATGGATGGATGGATGAATGGATGGATGAATGGATGGATGAATAGGTGGATAGGTAAGCTACTTACCTGACTATCGACTCCGACAAAAAAGATGAAGATGAAGAACAAAACAGCCCAGAAAGGAGAGAGAGGCATGCTGGAGATGGCTTCAGGCATCACGATGAATACAAGGCCAGGCCCTTAAATAATGTTGAGTACTTAAGTACTATTACAAAAATTTTCAAGTATGATTTAAATTTCAAGTATGATTTAAAATTCAAGTATGATTTAAATTTCAAGTATGATTTAAATTTCATTTTCAGCAAAGTGCGAAAATAATTTATTACCATCGACTACGACCTCTGAAATATCGAGTTTCGTTTGTTTTGCCATGTAACCCAGTGTTGAGAAGATAACAAAACCAGATAAAAACGCTGTTAACGTGTCGACCAATGATACTATCACTGCATCCCTGCATTTTTAATTATTCCGCATTGTTTTTAAAATTTTTTTATAACTTTCACACAAACAACAACAACAACCTAACAACCTATAGAAATTGTTATTGAATTTGTTGTAACTGGCCATTGTTATCCAAGCACCCCAAGCTGCTCCCATGCTGTAAAACATCTGCTGGGCTGCTTCCAACCAGGGCTTCATCGTTAAAATTTTAAAAAATACCTCTTTTGTTTTGATGGGGAATTTGCAAATGGAGTTTCTTATGATGAAATAATAATTCATATCAGAAATTATAATATGCCATATTTATGTCATAAATTATTATTTTCTTCTAATGAGTAAAGAGAAGAAGAAAATTGAACTCACCTGGAAGGACATGAGCTTACTCCATTTTGGCAGGAGATAAAATTTGATGCCATCTATCGCTCCGTCCATGGTCAGGCCTTTAATGATGAAAATAAGCAGAAGCACGTAAGGTAAGGTGGCTGTCACGTACACTACCTGCCAGCAAGTAATCATTTCATTAAATAATAAGAATTTATTTCAAATTTTGATTGCTTTCGCTTGTTTTAATTTTATATTCAATGTTTTCCAGAACTATCAACAACATACACACGGCAGTAAACACACGTAAATTAGTCCGGCAGCCAGGCGGTGGTCTCTGCGTTCATACTCACCAGGCACCTCCTTCTTCTTCATCTTTGCCATTATATAAATATATCATCGCGCCGCCCATTTACTATCATTTAAATTATTTGTAATTTGAATTTACCTTTCCTGAAGATTTGATCCCTTTGGAGAGGCAGAGGAAGATGAAGAGCCAGGCCACGACGAGGCAGATGAGGAGTTCCCAGTCCGGCGAACCAGGCTGGTCGATGCCGGCAGACATTTTCAAAACTCTGTGACTTCATGGCGTTATTTTTTTGCAAATATTTTTGAAATAATATTTTTGTGCTATAATCAATCGCACATCGAGCAAGTGAGATTTCTGTGAAAACAACGATCAAGACACAAAAACGACTGAGAGCAGCCAAGATCTCCTAGCGATTAAAGTTTAAAGTCATTCATCGGTTCAGGGTTTTAATACATTGTAAGTATTTTATTTACGTTTTAAAGAGAAAAAAAGAAAATCTTGAACTATTTCAGAGTTGCTAACAAGTTCATTACCAAAATTGCAAACGATTATTAAACGCAGTCGATTAATTCATTGTTACTAAAAATACCTCCAAAATTCTTCACTGGCAGTTTTCCACTTTGTTCCGTTGGTACTGGAGGCAATAAGAAGTCTCTTAGTGAGTGTTGCATTCAAATCGGAGGCATTATCGGCCACCCTGGTGAAGCAGAGGGGGGTGTTCCAGGGATTGTTGCAGGACTTCCACGGTAACTCCCAGCGGAATGATTGACTGAAGTAAAAGAGCGTCCAAGCGATGATGACGTTGTAATAAATGCAGGTGAGCGCTGAAATGACCACCATGCCCACACCTACGCCTGCAAAATTTCAAACGCTATTCTTTGTTATCAGCCTATCAAAATTTTTTCTAAATAATGTAAAACTTATTGAATGCTTAAACGTACCGGTGATTGATAATGGTAGGTGATTGAGTGAAAAACATCAAGGGTATGAAAAAAAAACTATTAAAATTTGTTTTTTATAAAAATATTATGTTCGGATAAATCTTAGAAATGATATATTGTTAAGTATGCAAGTATGTGTAGAATCAGGCAGAGCATTTTAAACTATTTTTGTGCTTCATAACGGTTTTCAAATCTAATTATATATATCATGGTCAGTCATTATCATCATGATCAAAAAAATTGTCATCACCATCATCACGCCTATTATAACCGCCAAATCCTTTCAAGGTAGATGAACCCTATAAGCTCATTTTTCTTAAATACGTGCACAAGAACATACTGAGTAGACGTTCTTTGGCATTTGTGTACATGCATGTGCCAGTGCATGTGTTTTTGTGCGCGCATGTATGTGTGTATCTGTTTGTACATATGTGTGTGTGTGCGTGTGTGTGCGTGTGTGTGTGTGATGCAATGGAGTAATAAACATGACAACATGTGAAGGAGAGAACTTGGAATGAAGGAATACTTGAAAATGTTTACGAATATGCAGCATTTACAGCAGAGCTTAACTGCTTGTTGTCTTACGATTGCATTTTCTTAACACAAATTCGTGTACTTGTGTGTGATTATGTCCGGTGTGTCTGTGTGTGTGTGTCTGTCTTTGTACGTCTGTGTTTGTTCACATTTTTCGGTTGATTGTCGGTGGCTCTATTTCATTTTTTATCTCAGTGTTTATAGTTCCTGACAATGTTTTTGTTATTTTATTTAAAAGTGTGTACGTCTGCATTGTATGGTACTATAGTAAAACTGGCTCATATTTCATGTGTTTATTTCTTGTAGATCCAAATCACGTTTCCTATATTTATCTAAAGTTTGATTTATACTTCTTAGAGCAAAAAACATAATGAATATTTTTATATTTTTAGTTTATAAATCAACGGCTATTTTAATTTGAAAAAAAATTGTTTTTCAAAAGTTTAAACAGTTTTCGATGTAATTTTGAATCAACCTAAAGAGCAAAAAGGCTTCAGGTATATAAAGGACAGCGGTAACAAAAAAAGTTTTTAAAAACCGATACACAAAAGACGGGAAACAGTATTTTAAATCTCGGAGGTACCACTTTATATGAAATGATTATTAATAAAAATATATCATCCACTATGACCTTACAAGTATCGGTATCGATTAACGACGTTTTCAGTCTTAAAATTATTGGCAATATCAAGCTGGATACTCGGCTTCAAAAGTGTTGGTGACACCAGAGCCGTTACTGAAATGTGTTGCCGATAAAATATCTGCAACAGCGACACATTGATACAGACTACTCTGTTTAAACCTTTGATTTAGCGAAGAAAGAGACAAAGAGGTAACCTTTGAAGAGGGGTGATATCTTCCAGATGCTGATCGGGCTGAGGCTGGCGAACTGACCAAATCCCATCTCCAGAATGACAAGAGGCATGCCAAGCAGGATCATGTATATCACGTAAGGGATCAAGAAGGCACCTTTCGAGGACATTTCACGCACATGAATGTTTTATGAAGAGGTTTCGAAAGCGATTCATATTTTGATTGGAAAAACGTTTGACGGTTTAGGTGAAAAATGGCAGTTTAGATTAATGAAGGCAGGCAGTAATGAACTAGTCATTAAAAATTACTTTTATTTATACATTAAAATACAAATATTTTCTTGGTTATTCCTTTCTCATTAAGAGTTTTATTTATGAAATCAAAGAAAAAAGGAACAAAACAAAACGAACGTGAAAAAGATTTAAAAAATGATGTAGATGGAAGAGAACAGACCTCCACCATTTCGGTAGCAGACGTAAGGAAACCGCCAGATGGTCCCCAGACCGACCGCGTACCCGATGCACGACAGCAGGAAATCAAACCTGCCCGTCCAATTCTCTCTCTTCTTCTGCGAGAACTGCGAGAGAGTCGTGCTCAGCCTGCGCACCAGGTCCACCGCTGCCGACATCTCCGCTGCTGTTCGATTGATCTTTTCAAGTGAAACTTTTATAGATTAGTATAAAAAAGAGTATATATACAAAGTAACAAATTGGAGAGGGGTGATGTGACGTGAGGATGGATGAAGGGCGAAAACGATCTAATAAGGTGAAAATAGAATTTCTCACTTTTTTTCCTCCCAACAAGTCCAATTAAAATAGCGGGTCAGCAAAGCCCTTCAAGGAATGTTTTTTGATCTATTTATTTATAAAAGATTAATATTGACTAATACATTAATCAATTTTTTAAAAACAATCAATTGTTGCGATATAACGCTCAAGAAACTATAAACCATAACAACGATGCATAAATTAATAAACTGGTCAATTAGTCAATTGAACACTCGCTTTTATCGAAATAAGCATTCGAATAGACATGAGCAGAAATGAATGGGATGATCGTTTTATAGTGGAAGACTATTTATAACTAATTCTAGTATACATACAAACACACATACATATACACACGCGATATATGTTCATTATATATACAATACAGAACCATTTTCATCAGGCAACCAATATAAATGAACGGTATTGTAATTGTATGTAACCATCACTTTGCAAATAACAAAACTGGCTAACGTCGCCATTCGTCATCACTACCATCATCATCATCATCAAATTAATAATCATCAAATACAACTATTTTGAAAATTTGTTTAAATTACTACAATATATAAATTAAACACACACACGCGCACGCACGCACACACACACACACACATTGGACCATCATCAGGTACATAGACAGATGCAAATGACATTTGTACGAATTTTTCTTAATTTATGTAATTTATATCCGTTATTTTTTGTTGAAATTGTATCGTTTTGATTTAATTGAAGTTCTAGAATTGGATTACTTTCTCATTTGTTAATTTGGTTTAAAAATAAAAAGTTTGAGTTTCGTTTGCTGGTGGATTTAAGGTCACCTTGACTTTGTTATTGAAGTTTACTTTTAATTATGTCTAAGGGACACTGCGTCAAGTGTAAAAGTGGATTTAAGAATACGAAAGAAACTGTGGTGAAATGTTGTTTTTGTGATGGTTCCATTCATACTAAATGTCTTGAGTATGATGATGAAATGTTACGAATTATTAACAGTGGTAAAAATGTAAAGTATTTTTGTGATAATTACTTGTTGTATTCGGACAATTTGAAATCTCTCAGCATATTGAGAAACAGGATGACTGCAATAGGCGGTTGAAACAAATTATGGATAGCAGTGATGAAATCAGAAGTGAGTTGAAACAGTTTAAGACTTCTGTAGATCAAAATTATGATAAATTGGATCTTATTAAAGCAGATGTCGAGTCATTACTTGATAAATCTACTGCTAATGTTAAAAGTTGTTAAATTTCTTGTTACGTAGATCGCTTAATTAATTGATATAATATTGAAAGACATTAAAAGAAGAGAAATAAACCAAGCAACGTTCTCGACTTGTTTATTATCCACCAGATCAACAGAAAAGGAAAAAGTGAAGTTAAGTTACATACAAAGCAAAAAACATTTGGTCCAAAGAAAAATAAATGTATATTATAAATCATGATGTTTTAATATAAAATTTAAAACTTAACACCTTCTCATTTTATTTAAAACATTAGATGACCTTAACCTAAATTTTCTGAAGACCCATCGCACACATCAGATTCTTTAGTCTTGGTCCTACCATTGGTTTTGTCAGAGCATCAGCAACTTGAAGTTCTGTCGCAACTCGTTCAACTGAAACTTCTTCTGCAACTTTTTCTCTGACAAAGAAATGTCTAATGTGGATGTGCTTTGTTCTTCTGTGAAGTTCTGGATTGTGTGCTAAACGAATTGCTGCTTCATTGTCGACAAAAATTTCTGGCTTTTTCTTTAGATCTACAATGTCGTTCAACAATCGTTTGAGCCATATCACTTCACGAGCTGCTTCACTTGCGGCAACGATTTCTGCTTCAGTAGTTGAAATCGCAACTGAGGGTTGACGTTGGCTAAACCAACTGATCACGCTTCCTCCAAACATACAGATTACACCTGATGTCGATCTTCCACTAGATTTATCTCCTTCATGATCTGCATCACTGTAGGCTATAAGTGCATTGTTTTGACCAGACTTGTAAACAATACCGACATCAGCTGTGCCTTGCAAATATCTGAAAATTTGCTTAACTTGTGCTACATTGGACTTGCTGGGTTTCTCTAAACTTCTGGATGCTACTCCAACTGCATATGCAATATCTGGTCTTGTTCCCGTCATCAAGTACATCAATGCACCAACTGCTGATCTGTAAGGAAATTTCACTTCCTCGTGTTCATTTTTGTTTTCATTGAACTCCTCAGATTTTGAAATCGGAGTTGTACAGGATTTACACTGACTCATCCCAAACTTTTCAAGAATCATTCTTGTATAGGATGACTGACTGACATTAATATTTCCCTTCTCATCTTGATTAATCTCTAATCCAAGAAAATATGTTGCAGGTTTAGATGTTATCTTGAACTCTGACTTTAATTCTTTTTCAAATATTTTTAGTTCTTTTAGTTCCTGCAACTAGTCCATCATCAACATACAGTGCAAGTACGAGTTTCTTTCCTCCCTATATTCTAATGAACAAACAAGTATCTGCATCGCTTTGTTTGAAATGTCTCTTTTTCAAGAATTCACCAAAGCGTTTGTTCCAACATCTTGGAGTTTGTTTAAGTCCATAGAGACTTCGCTTGAGTTTACAGACTCTTCCTGAATTATCTTTAAAACCTTCAGGTTGCTCCATGTAAATATCTTCATCTAGTTTGCTGTATAGAAATGCTGTTGACACATCAAACTGCATGAGTGACATCTTTTCACTTGCAGCAACACTTAATAGTGTTCTTATAGTTGAACTTCTGACCACAGGACTATAGGTTTCTTCATAGTCAATTCCCTTTTTCTGAGAAAAACCTTTTACCACTAGCCTGGCTTTAAAACGTTCAACAGAACCATCTGGATTGTGTTTTACCTTGTAGACCCATTTGCATGGTATTGCCTTATGACCTTTTGGAAGACTTACCAAATCCCACGTTTGATTTTCTTTTAATGACTGCATTTCACTGCTCATGGCTTTAAACCATTCATCTTTTTCATCACTTTGAATGGCATCTTTGTAGCTCACTGGTTCAAGTACTTCACATAATGCAGACATAATGAAAGGATCATAACGAGATGGCTTTTTGATATTATTCCTGTCACGTAAAACCATGCCTTTGGTCTTTTGATTACAACAGTCAGATTGATCTTCTTCATCAGATGAAACTGAACTACGGTTGTGAACATCTTCATCAGTTGAAATATTTTCTTTAAACAAAGTTTCTTTATTTTCATCTTTGATTTCAACATCAATCGATACCGTATCATCTGAACAACTTTCTTCTTGCAAAATCACTGAATTCGGTTTGACAACCTTCTCATCAAAAATAACATCTCTTGATCGATGCATTTTAACACGTTTCTTATTCTGATGTCCCATTCTTTCATGGTATAACTGCAATGCATCTTGATCATTGACAAAGTTAACTTCGACTTCAGAATTCAACGGTCTAACAGTTTTTGCAACAAGTTTGAACAAACCTCCATTGTTGTTTCTTATTCCAACAACACTTATCACATTGTCAATAAGTAGATGACAACTTCTTGAGGTTGAATCAAAAGAGCTATTTCTGTTCTTATCTTGAGTTGCAAGTACTGAGAACAAATTTCTTTTTACTTTTGGCACATACAAGACATCTGTAAGTTTAACAGTTTGCCATTTATTATTCACTTTCACTTGAAGATGAATAATTCCTTTTCCAAAAGCTTCTACAGTATCACCATTTGCAACATATAATTTAGTCGGTTGAGAAAATTTTTCAAAACTTTGAAATATGTCTCTTCGGAAAGTTAGATGACACGTTGCACCATTGTCACCAGTGTACGCTGACTCATCAATTGCAAAAACACTTGATTCCATAACAAGTAGTGACTTATTGTCATCGCATAGATTGTTATTTCTTGGTTTTGCTGGTCTACTATCAGAATGCCATTTTTCACAATTTCTTACAATGTGACCTGGCAATTTGCAATAATGACATATCAGTCGCTTTGGTTTGCTGACAAATTTATCTTATTTTTGACCATTCATGTTTAGTGATGATGACCTTTTAGTTGTTGCTTTGACAAATAATACTTTATTACATTCTGTTTTGCCTTCCAAAGATCTCTCATAGCTACACAGTTGATCTGTGAGTGTTTCGACTGTTCTTTCAGTCTTGTTCAACAATCTCCAACTTGCAGCAAACGAAAAATATTAAGTTTCAATTATTTGGCACATCAGCAACAAGTCACTGTTTTCATCTTTTCCTAACTCAACCTTTAAATCTTTCCAAAGATTCTTGAGTTTTGTGACATGAGTGACGACATCATCGCTTTCATCCATTTTATAACTAAAGAACTTCATGCACAAGTTGTATGCTTTATCTTCATTAACTTCATCATACAATCTGTGAAGTTCTAACCAACCATCTCTGGCATTACTGAATGAACGAACTTTTTCATACGTTTCATCGGTCATGTTGGTTGACAGAACAATCATAGCACTACAATCTGCTCTGTTGAATCTGTTCAAAGCAGTTTAATATTTTGCTATCTCATCTTTATTTGAGTCATCGTTTAATTCATCTGGAATTTTTAATTTGCCATCTACTACGTCCATTGCATCAGGAATGCCGCGTAGTATTATACAAACTCTCGACTTCCAGTTCAACCAATTACTTTTGCCTTCTAGGTGTTTGATCTGCACTTTTGTTAGATCCATTTCTTCCTTGTCTTTCAATTTGACCTTTTAATTAGAAGCAAAATATCGACTTTAAGAGAATGAAGAAGCACGTGTTTTTTCTTCACTTCAGTCTTCACAAAGGAATCTTCCGATATTTCTTTATTCTAAATTTTCTTCGTCAAATCAATTAATTAAGAAAAACGTTATCTGGGTCCATAAGCATAGGCTATAGGCAGAACCATTCAACTGAGACGGTTTTAATTGATGTTACGTCTACATTATTTGCAGCTATGGATCAACACAAAGTTTCATTGTTGGCTTTATTGGACATGAGTGCTGCCTTTGATTGCGTTGATCACACCTTGTTGATTGATAAATTGAAATACTTTTTTGGTGTCTCTCATGTAGTAGCCTCATGGTTTGAATCATACTTGATTGGAAGGACTCAGCAAGTTTTTTTTAACAACGGGTTGTCAGATGTTGAGATAGTCACGTCTGGAGTTCCTCAGGGCTAGGTCCTTGGGCCTTTGTTGTTTTTACTTTATACGGCTGATATGTTCCCAATTATTGAGGAATTTAATTTCAAGTATCATGCGTTTGCTTATGATGTGCAGATAATTGTTCCGATTGCATGTAATACAACGTTTGAAGATGAAGTTGATAGATTTGTATGTTGCATCGAAAAACTCAATGGGTGGATGATAGATAACAGATGAATAAAGGTAAAACTCAACTACTTTTCATTGGTACCTGGCAACAGCTGGAGAAAATTGATGTTAAGTCTATCAACATATCTGGGTCGGATGTTAATTTTTGTTCCTCCCTTTGTGACTTGGGGATCGTATTGGATCAAAATATGTCAATGAATTTTCATGCCAAAAAGCTTAGTAAGGAGTGCCCATTTCAGCTTAGAAGGCTTAATCAAGTTAAAAACTCATTAGATAATGACACATTGAAATGTTTGGTTCATGCATTTGTTCATTCAAAGTTGGACTACTGTAACAGTGTTTTCTATGGAGTATCAAACAGTACATTGTCTTCTCTACAGTCAATTCAGAACAGAGCGGCCAGGATTGTTAGTGGCCGTTTGAAGTTTGATAACATTAGTCAAACGCTGTTGGATCTTCATTGGCTTAATGTTAGGAAAAGAATCTTATACAAAATTTCCATCATGGTGTTCAAATGCCTGAATGGTCTCAGTCCAAGTTACCTGTCTGAAATGATAATACGTAGAGTTAGATCTCATCCGTCAATCAAGTTGCGTTTAGATGATCAAGATTTATTGATGGTGCCGAAAACAAAGTTGGCTGTTGCTGATAGAAGTTTTGCAGTTGCTGGAATAATTTGCCCCATCACCTCCGTCGACCGGGATTGACTCTTCAACAGTTTCGCAAGGAATTGAAAACTCATATCTTCTTGGATTGATTCGCACAAATCATGGAGCGCCTTTGGGTGACTATAAAAGGCGCTCTACAAGTTCTCTAATAATAATAATAATAATAATAATAATAATAATAATAATGATTATGTTGATGATTGTGGAATGATAACAATAATGAGGTTAATGGTAATGACGATTATGATGACGATACTGCAACTTGCTCTGACATAAGTGGGTTTATAAAAACATACATACGCAAGTGTGCTGCGAATATATGTATGTATATATGTATTAATATATTTATTTATAAGTGTTTTATAATTATAATAACGCCGATAATTGTTGTAACAATTTTATATGAGATGAATTGGTGGAAAAATTTTGAATTGAAAAATTGGGAACATCCTTTTTATAATTTGAACTTCTGATAACGAAATTATAACAATTTGGTGGTCGGCCGGTTGGTTGGCAAATGTTTATAAACAAATATAGAAAGAATTACAAATTAAATCGTGAAATAATCAAGATGACGGATAAAAAAAGTAATCATTACATAATTGCCTCAGGAATGTTCCTTTAATTTTAATGTTTTTCAGTTAGGTAAAGTCAAGTTGGTTCAAAGTTTTGTAATAAAACATGAAAAGAACAAAAAATAAACCCTTCTTAACTTATTTAGACCAGTTTCATGGTAAAATCATTCTTTAATATTTCTGTTTAGCGTCGAGTCAAAATAACAAAAGAATAATAATAAAAATCACCGCTACTACAATAATTTTATTTTCGTCCATTTTAATGCTTAGCGTTTATATTGTAAGAAATGTATTATCAAATAGATTATACATTCGTCACATTAGTTAACTCTCATTACTTCATCATTCACTTTTGTCATAAATTGATTTATCAATTTTTTCATTCATTAAGAATTAAAGTAACAGTAATTATAAAATTAATAATATTACAAATTGTTGGTAATAATTTAATGAAATAATCCAGGAGGGGGCAAACTACGACCCGCGGGCCCCATGCAGCCAGTGGGGCCTTGTTCGCCAAAAGAAAAGTCGTCAACCAGACATTAAGACCAAAAAAGAAGCCATAAATCTTAAAAAAAAAATTCACCCCCGGGTCGAAAAAATTTGCTATTTAAGTACATATGCGGCCCTTCAAAGGTAAAATAGTTGTCAATGCGGCCCTCACAGCAAAAAGTTTGGAATAACCAATAATCAGTTTGGTCCTCAAAAAATGTATCAAATGCGTTTTTTCTATCTTCTCAAACACACACACGCACAGTGCATATTACAAACTCTGGCAATAATAACATTGGTTTCACATATCATTTACACGTTCAAAAAGATAGTTTGCATTAAGAGTGAACATTGAACTAATCCCAATAAAACATTTTTTTCATTAATTTGATTTCACTAATTAGTGCTGTATGAAAATGCAACATGATACTAAACTCATAAATATACAGATATATAATTCCCACCAGACGCGCGCGTACAACCACACATACACACACACACGCGCGCGCCAGAGAAAGTTTAAAAAAGAAAATTACACGAACAAAGATTATGAAGAGAGCGAAGATGAACCTGACGGGTTCGACGAAGAAGGAGACAACGTGCTCGTGCAGTTTATAGCGGGAAATATGATGCAATCTTCTTGCATGAGCGCTGACGATGAGTCAAATGTGGAGGACCAGCAGGCAGGTTATTCCAAGGAATAACCTGCAAATAACTTATTCCAACGAATTTCTACTCAATCTTACGAAATGAAATGGCAATCATGAAATTTTTATTAGAAATGTTTACTAAAAAATCTTAAACAATAAAGTGCTAAAAATTTGTTAGTTTGTGTTACTTTTTGCATTCCTATCCTATAACATTTAAATAAAGAAAGATAGATATGTTCGAACATACCTATCGTAGCAAGGGATTTGCTAGGAGGAGCGTAGAAATGACGAAACGAGTTAAACGCCAAAGAACATAGAGAGCCCGTAACAAATAATTAAATAAACAGATAAATAGAAAAATATAAGACAGCATCCAGGAGTTCTACTACAATTGAAATTTGAACGATTCAAGGAAGGTCCTATAAATTTGCCTTGTTGGGAAATTATAAATACGAACCGACTATGAAATGTGACGACGTCTGTTAATTTTATAATTGAATAAACTGCCGAAGTTTACTGAAATAAAGCCTTCTACGAAAATGTACATGAAAATACAAAACAAAAGGAGCAACAACTTTTTATGTAAACACAAGGAATTAAATACTAATGATAAAATGGAGAAATTAAGCCACGAACTTAGTAGGTAATGCTGAAAATGCGGTGATACATCATTATAATTGTATACGTCTGTCAGTCTGAATTGTAATATTATATCATGTATTTATATATATTTAGAGATACAGATATATAGATATGCTAGTTGCATAGAGGCAGATAAGTTGATATATAGCGGTTGCATAGTTATTTGATATCCCCAAAAACACCCATTAAAAAGCAAGTAGTAAGCATGCATGCGTGCGTGTGTGCTCACTCTCCAAACTATCATGATGGGAATAATAATAATAATAATTATTATTATAATTATATTATTATTATTATCACAAACCGCTTTACAAAATAACGCATCAAACAGCTTTTTATTGACAAAGAGACTTGCGTAAACTCCTATATAAATGCACATTACGCTAATCAGAAGAGAGAAAGAGAGAGAGAATGAGAATGAAAGATAGATAGATAGAAAGATAGATAGAGAGGGAGAAAGATGATCACAAAATAATTAACAATATTCATCTCTAATAAATCATTAATTATTACATGGATATTATAGACAGTTTTGCTTATTGGATCCTCATCAATCCCATCATCATCATCATCGTCGTCGTCGTCATCATCATCATCATCATCATCCCCGTCATTTAATTTCTAAGATAAATATAAATATGATGATGATATCATGGGAATTAAAGGATGACGATGATGAATGTTTGTATAGCTAATAATGATGACAAGATACGTTATCTTATTTCAAAATTATGGCTTGAAACGATGATAACGAAAATGATGATGATGATGATGAGGAGGAGGAGGAGGAGGATTGCCACCCCATCCAACATAATAGTCGAGGAGTGACACAACAATTCAAGTTCATTTGGAAAGTTTCTCTGTTTTCCACACGAAATTGATGTAATTATTATCATATGCTGCCTCACTTTGCTGGGCTGTGTTGTACGTTTCGTTTTCACGTGTGTGTGTTTGTGTGTGATTTTGTGTTTGTGTGTGATTTTGTGTTTGTGTGTGTGTCTGTGTGTGTGTTTGGGTGTATAAGACTATTTCACTGACTGTATTATTCATAAGATTAAATGACTTATTCATCAATTATTCAAATAGGATGATAAAATATGATGAAATTTAAATTTAATGGTTCCTCATAGCCATTTTTTAATCAATCACTTTTAAAATTAAATGCGGTTTCAACGTTTTAAAAATGAAGAATTTAATAATTTAAAAAATTTCACTGGACCCAGAAATTTTAGCTTTTTTGTGTTTTAAGTTTTTCGTTTTTACCTTTAAATTAAAAGTAAACTTTTAATGGCTGGCAGTCTGTAAAAGTAGCAGTGTAAATACAAAGCAATCTGTCAATCTTTTTTATAAAATCTTGCGTCGATTAATTAAAATTTGAAATTTGGATCAATTTTTAAAATTAAATCAAACTTTTTAACGCCACAGTAAAATATGTCAAAACATTCACTTCACAAGAAATTTTGGACATAATCTGAGGAATCTGTTGTTGGTGGCCCCGCCTAAATTTGAATTGAATCCTAATTTTAAAAATAAGAATTGCATTGGAATTGAAGCTTATTTTTCACCTTATTTTTGTTTCTTGTAATAATGTGCATGTACAACTTATTAGCTAATGATCAGCTGATTAAAACATTAAATATTAAAAAATACTGTGTGTGAGAGATTGGTCATTCAACTGTTGTAAATTGACTTGATCACAAATATTTTGTTGAATCTTTCTTAGATCACAAGTAAAGATTGATCTCCAGATTCTGATCCATTCATCCCATAATACAAGTTTTGTTATCAGTTTTTTTACATAAAAAATCAAGTGTCAATGAAATGGATTTTAGGAATAACAGAAACAAAAAACCCACCAGCATCGTATGTTTTAAACTTTTAATTAATCAATCTATCTTTTAACATGTGATATATATGAATGTGGCTGAGAAGGAATGTTTTTAATGAAAATAATGTTATTAATTTGTTAATACTAAGCACTAAGTGATTAATATTATAATAAACCCTTGCTTTAATAACAAATTTTAAATTATCAAATCAGAATTTAAAGGCTTTTTTTAGGTTTTTAAATATATTGTAATATAATATATATATATATTAAGTTTTAAATCTTAACATTTGTTAACATTTTGTAGTTTTATTTAGTTTTAAATAAAGGAATTTCTAAATATTTTATTGATGAAAATTCATTGCTGAAAATTATTTGTGAGCATTGTCTTTTTGATTATGGAATGTTATGTAAGTAAGTGGTGATGGTGTTTCAACCATCAATTGTAAGCTTATTAAGTCTATGCTTGCCAGTTTGAAAGTTATTTTGTGTAGATGAACCAATTATTTCAAATCCAAATTTATCTCAGATCCAGTGACTATTTGAAAAATGTCTTTCAATAAAATTAATACATAAAATAGACCATTAAACGTTTTAAAATTAAAATATATTAAATAAAATAACAGTTGGACAAGTTCAGCTCATTAAGAAGTTTAGAGAAGAGAAAGAAATCAAATCGCTACAATGATGTGGCCGGAGAGAACTTGCAGCAGCTGCACATCATCCAGCAGAAAATTAACCAGCTCTCAGAACACGATGTCCAACTAAAATTTGAACAAATGCTTGTAAGAAGACGTTTGGTTTTTTTAAAATTAAGATTAAAATATGTTTGGATGGTGGCAGGCTGTCTGGGTTATTAAGGTTGAATGGATGCATGCATACATGAATCTGCTTGTAAGCTTCGATGAATCCAATCTTTTCTTGAAGATGGCTCATCGATTTCTGAAGTTCATACACAGTCATATATATTTTTATACTTTCATTAATTTTTGTTTCCATGAAAAATTAGGACGATATGAACCTGAGTGACGAGAAGAAAGCTCCACTGAGATTGAAAACAACAGAACAGAAGAGGGCAATGTTAGCCATGCATTTCAAGGGTTCCATGTTGGTTAGTCATTCGTTAGTCGGATGATGTTGATGTTTTCAGGTAGGAGGGTGAAGAAAATAATGATGATGATGATGAAGTTGATAATAATGATGATGATGAAGATGATAATAATAATGATGATGAAGAAAACTGCTTGAAACCACAGAGCCACAGTAAGGTAGACACCGTCGATGAGTTCATTTATGAGATGAACAGAAATGATTTGAGGGGTGGGGCCAGGTATGGCATCATATCATCACTCAGGGTCGCCTTAACCAACAATCCTGTCAGGTTGGTTATTTTGTATAAATAAGAATTTATAAATATTAATGAGTTTGTCAGGCTTAAACTTGATTGGTTGCTGTTTATAACTCTCACTCCAGCTGGGTGATCAGTTTTGGCAAGAAGAATGGACTGAATGGGATCCTCAAATGTCTCAGCTATTCATTTGATGAGTGAGCTCACTATGATTTTCAATATTATCCGCTGTGTTATATTTTAATTGTTATTATAGTTATATAAATAATTTATTTAATATATTTTTAATTTTTCTCAGCCAATCAGAAAAGAGGAGCACATTGGAATGTATAAAATGTTTGAGTGCTTATTCGAATAACAAGGTGCTATTTTTATCATCATTGTCATAATCGCCATCATCATCGTCGTCGTCATCATCGTCATCATCTTAACAGTATGGGCTGATGCAGTTGATAAAGCATGACGAGGCTCTCGTGCTGCTGTGCCGATGTGTGGATGTGCGCGATGCTCCAAGCATGCTGGAAGCTGTCAAGTTGATAGCTGCCATATCACTCGTTCCACCAGATGGGTTTGTTTGTTTGTGCGTCTGTCTGTGTTGTGTGTATGTACGCGCGCGTGCCTGTTGCTGTTGTACCTAATGGCCATCATTGACATCATCTCCAGGTTGGACAAAGTGTTGGAAGCCATATCAATCTGCGGTGAGTTGAGGTGCCAAGAAAGGTTCCTTCCAATAGTCCAAGGTCTTAATCTTAAGGACATTCAAATAAAGGTTACCCAATTAAAATTCAAGCGTGGCTGGCGTTAGGGTTAGGGTTAGGGTGATTGAGTTCGCCTGACTCTGTTGTGCGTGTGTACGATGGCCGAGTTTGAATCAAATATGACAAGAGTGGGTTAGGGTTGACATATGCGTTGCATGGTTGTGGTATCACCATCGACCACACATCGTCGTCCACAACTGTCTTCATATCAGCAGTTGAAATTTTTGTAACTGCTATGTCCTACACCCAGCAGGATGTTACAAGTTGCAAAGGCCTGAGTTTAATCTCATGAAGCAAAATAATTCAAGAATAACGCTTTGACAACTTTTTTAAATGTTTCAATGAATATTTAATATAAAATAAATAGCTGAATAAATGAACTGTACGATGGTATATAATTATCAATATATCAAATGAAATTTAAATTAACTGTGGGTCGAAATATTAAATAACACAAAAACAACATCATTCTCACACCAACCTGTCGTTGGATGCAGATTGCCTGCTTGCAACTAACAAACGCCATCATCAGCACTGCAGATGAATTGCATTTCAGACTGCACTTACGTAACGAGTTTTTAAGGAATGGACTGATTGATCTTTTACCTGTAGGTTTTGTGTGTGTGTGTGTGTGTTTGTGTGTGTGATGTTGCAGATGATAGAGAGTGACGATTAGGAAAAGATATCGCGGTAATAATAAACTTTTGAATCCTTTTTTCAGTCCTTGGAGCGCCACCCAAACGATGAGATCCAATCACAGGTGAGAATATTTTTAGAACACAAAGATTATGACGCTGAGGAGTTCAGCCATCGTTACGACAACCTCCGACTTGATATGGAGTAGGAACTACTTTATGCTTTCGCTTCTTCGCCATAGTAATCTTTACAGATATCATTATCGTCTTCATTTTTCTCATCATCATCCTCACCACCATCATCATTTTCTCCATCATTTTCCGCCAGCGATCCGAGAGAATGTTTCGAATTGCTGATGAGTTCGACCGTAGACACGCCTTCAGAAAATTATTTCCTTTCTATCCTTCAACATCTCCTCATCATCAGGGAAGATAGTTATGCCAGGTTATGTTGATGATGATGTTGATGATGATGTTGATGATGGTGACGAGGATGAAGATGGCTGTTGTTATGGTGATATGAGTAACTAACTTGATGTTTCTATCTTCATGATCATACATGACCACCATCATCATAATTTTCTTCCTCATCATCATACAGACCTCAATATTATCAGCTGATAGAGGAATGTGTGACGCAAATAGTGCTGCACAGAAATGGATGTGATCCAGACTTCAGGTACAACAGGAGGTTTCATGTTGATGTCGAACCGCTGTTAGGTTCGTTCGTTCGTTTCGTTCTTCTTCCTTTGTTCTCATCCCATTTTTCGTTCTTTCGTTTTTTACTTCTTTCATCTGATTGTCAAATTTTCATAAGTTCCACGATGATTTGTACATGGCAGGTAAGTTGTCGTCCGAAGATTCCTGTGAGTTCGCTGGTTCATCTACTAACCTCAACTCCATGCTGGGTCCACCGCGACAGTTCAGGCAGAAGTTGGAGGAGGTCATGACGATCAGGCAGGAGTTAGAGGCCAAGGTTGGGTCGCTCGAGGCCAAGGTGAAAGGTTACGAAGAAGAGATCCAAATTCTCAAGTCCAAGGTTGTTGTTGGTTTGTTGTTGTGGGCTAGATTTTTTATGTTCTTTATGATTTGTTGGTCCAATTCATGCTCCGCAAGCTTATTGGTCCTGCAGATGGCCACTGATTCAATTTACTCACTTCTCAATTGAATGTTTGCTGTTTCCTTATGTGACAAGCGGTTAACTGCTTTTAAATTAATTTCAAAAGATTTCCGGTGATATAGGATCGACAATATCGTCAGCCCTCCTCAACAATATTCCTTCATCATCACAAACGACCAATCAAACAAACGTTCCCGTACCACCTCCTCCGCCATTCGCTGGCATCCCTTTTGCTCCTCCTATTCCGGGATCCATCCATCCGCCTCCTCCACCAATCGCAGGCCTTCATTCTTCGGTTGTTAAATTGCCTGACTTTGTGAAGCCCAAGAAAAAGTACAACCCTTCAACACAAATGAAGCGAGCCAACTGGGTGAAGGTCTGCTAATTTGCATAATTTATGATAATTAAATCAATCAATGAATCGTTTGACCAATCACCTACCAAGTAATGAACATTGAACAGATCAACCCGTCAGCATTACAACCGGACAGCTTCTGGCTGAGATTGGATGAGGAAAAGTTTGCTTCAGTTGAACTTTTCAACCAGCTGACTAGCAACTTTGCTTTCAAAACTAGCGGTCAGTGGTGATGAACCGCGATGATGTGGTTGTGGCGGTGATGTTCCAGACGGTGGAGAGTATGAATTACATGAAAATATTAATAGACTGACACCTACACACGCACACACCTACACTCGTACACACCAACAGACAAACCAGAATCAAGTGATCCGGTCGAGAAGGCATTTAAAAAAGTTAAAGAACTGAAAGTGCTCGATTCTAAATCTGCTCAGAATTTGTGTTGGTAGAGTTTTGGTTGTTATTATATTGCTGTTCAATTGTTCAGTTACCTGGCAACACAACATACAAAAGTGCACATTCGCACAGACAAACAAGAACATACTTCAACACACACCACAGCAATCCTGCTTGGTTCCATTAAAGTGCCATATGAAGAGATAAAGAGGAGGATATTGCAGGTTGATGAATCTAAGTTGACCCTCAGTTTCATCGACCAACTCATCAAACTACTGCCACCTCGCGATCAAATTAACAAACTCGCTCTTCTGAAAGATCATTATCAGGAATTATCGGAGCCCGAACAGTTTGCTGTGGTGGTTGGTGGTGGTGATGATGATAACAGTGATGATGATGATGATGGTGGTGATATTAATCTCTCTTAGATGTCCAGTATAAAAAGGTTGGAACCTCGTTTGTCATCCATCCAATTTAAAATGAAATTCAACGAGACCGTCAATGAAATCAAACCAGTGGGCCGTTGTTACATTTGTCGTTGTTGTTGTCGTTGTAGCTGTTTAAAATCAAGAACACTCCAGAAACAAATGAAGCATTGAATTTTTTTTTTAATTTCAACTCGATCATCCCTTCCAGGAAATGGTTGCTTCCCTGGTCGCCATGGAGGAGGTTCGCAACAGTACCAAACTTGCTGACGTCATGGGCATCATCTTGCTGCTAGGCAACTACATGAACGCTGGTTCCAGGAATGAGCAGACGATTGGCTTTGAAATGAACTTCATATCTAAGGTTCTATTTAGTTTCATTCAGCACAAATATAAGATTGATAATTGCAAATGAAATTTAAACCCTCAGCTGGTGAACACAAAGTCGACAGACAACAGCCAGACCCTGATGCACTTCATGGTGCAGTACGTGCAGAACCACCATCCACCTCTCATTGACTTCTATCTCGAACTCTCCCATGTTGAGAAAGCCGCGAGAGGTATTTTCATAATTTTTATAATTAATACAATAATTATTATAATTGAATTGAAATTTATTTCAAAGTAACAGAAAATTATTAACAAGCATGATGACCAGAATAGATCTCTAAAATAAGTTCATTGCGCCTAAATATATTTGGCCATTGAGTTTCAAGTGTTTAACAGAGTTGTTCAGAAATTTAAATTGAAGAATCATGAATAATTTAACCTAATCTAAACACCATTTGAGCCATTTTAATGCCTGACCTCTCGTGTCGTACAGTTCAATTTTACTGGAAGAGTTCAATGTTCGCTACAATCAAATGCTTTTGAAAGATAGAAACGTGGTACAGCATCGTTCTAACTTTCAGCGGCCATACTAATTTTCACTATTGTAATTTTAATGATTATGACATTAATTTTCTTGAAAGTGTCTGAAGATTTGTTGCAAAAGGCCGTGGTGCAGATGTGCAAGCAGGTGGAGCAACTGGACATCGATCTGAAGAACGCCGAACGAGAACACAACAGCTGCAAAAATAATAATGCTAACGATTGTGACGATCGATTCGTTCAAGTCATGACTATATCCTTACACTATTTCCATCTCCACATTCGCCATCATCAAATTCACCTTAATAATTTTTGGGTTAATCACCACTTCCACGTCAATCATCATCTCCTTCATCGTCGTCCTGCTTGTCCTCCTTAACCTCCACATCTCACCCATTCTTAGTGGAGAGTAGCAATCAATGCAGCCTGCTGGAAGGCATGCACAAGAACATGTTGAACAGGTACCAGGACATCTCGAAATACTTCTGCTACGATTACAAGAGGTACTCCATGGAGGAGATGTTCGCTGATCTCAAACTCTTCATAGAACATTTTCAAGTTGGTTCTTTCCTACTATCACTCTTCCTCTGTCTGTTTGCTTGCTTGCTTGCTTGGTCTTATTTCTTTTTTCGCTTTTCTATATTTCTCTCCATCTCTCTCTCTCTTCTCTCTCCTCTCTCTCTCTCTCTCTCTGATTTTCTCTGTTGAACGAGCTCTTGCATTATAGATTGATGGCATTTCGTAAGAAAGGCACTATAACTTTCAAAATTCCAATCCAACCAGCAAGCCAAGAAAGACCTGGATAGATTGAAAGAACAAGAAGAGAAGATGAAACGACAGAAAGAGATGTTGATGAGGCAGGAAGAGGAGAGGGAAGAGAAAAGAAAGAGGAAGAAGATGATTATCGACATCAATGCTGGTTTGTTCATTCATTCATCTTTCAGCTATCGCTTCGTCTTACTACAATTCATTTCATTTTGAGATTATTGACGTCCGCCATTTCATTTTCGTTAAACGTTGTTCATTTGTTCATTTCAAACTGCGTGCACCACACAATCACAACGACCAACTGACCAACCAACCACCAAGCAGATGATGACCAGGAGGGTGTCATGGACAATTTATTGGAAGCCCTTAAGACAGGGTCAGCCTTCCACGTCAGTCGAGAAAGAAAGGAGCGAAGGAAGAACCCAAGAATTGCTGGAGGTGGTTGTTGTGCTGTTTGTTCTACCTCTGTCTGTCTGTCTGTCTCTCTGTCTGCATGTCTGTCTGCATGTATGTGTTTGTGATGTGTGCTCTTGAAAAAATGATTAAATAAACACGAAAGGTTTTATGTAGAATGTAGATAGATGGATAGATAGATAGGTAGGTAGGTAGATAGGTAGGTAGGTTGGTAGGTAGGTAAGTAGGTAGGTAGGTAGGTAGGTGGGTGGGTAGGTAGGTAGAAAGATCAATTAAATAAATTAAATTATGGCCCATTGAAATAAGTTTGTGAATAAAAAATTGGGTTCTTATAGATGTCAGAAGAAAGTTATGGGTAAGTTGGCGATTAATTCGCTCATTCATTCATTCGCTCATTCATTTATTTGTTTATTCATTCATTCATTCGCTCATTCATTCATTCATTCATGAATCTTCCAATCATTACTTATTCACTCAATGCACTAAAACTTATTCCTTTACTTAGGTACTATCTATGTTGTTTTTAGATTTATTTTCCAGGGAATGATTTGAATGTTGTTTTTCGTTTCAACTTTTCGTTCATTTTTTCGTCAAAGTTACTGATTTAATTTAATTTAACTTTATTTATTTACCTAACTGCATTTTTAGGATTAATAATTTTACATGTTGGTTAGTGGGTTGTTTGGTTTCATTTAGTCTTTGCATAGATTGAATAACATTTTTTGTTTCCAATGATTGCCTTTGTTACTTTTTTAGTCATCATCATTCTCTTCTTCATCGTCATCATCATCATGACAACAAAATAGCTGAGAGACGAGCTCAACTTGTACGATCGAGATCGCGTCAGAATGTATTGAGCCCGCAGAGCCCTGGTTTGAATGCAACAACATCCACCCCATCGACAACACCAGCATCAAAGACGACAGCAACACCATCCACGCTTACAACAAAATTATCACCGCAACAACAACAACAACAGTTTAAAAAACCCCATCAATCAGAACAGCAACGCAAATACAAAGAGCAACATCCCTCCGGTCTGAAAACAATCCTCTTTCATGACGATGACGACCATGTGGATGGTGGTGGTGATGCTAGTCTCAACGCTACTATCATCAAAGCTTCAGATAAAAAATCCCCAAAACCCAGCAGCATCAGCAGCAGCCAAACGACAGCCGCAAGATCCAACAAGCCTAACACTCAAAGGACGCAGTTCACAACGCAACAACAACAACAACAGTTTAAAACATCGTCATCGCCATCAACTTCCTTTAAAAAGACCTCCCCATCGAAATATTCACCATCGCCATCTTCCACATCTCCAGTGAAGATGAAGACATCAAACACGTCACCATCATCATCCTCGAAATATACGAAGCAAATGCAACAAACTACAAACTACAAAAAAATAATTCCAACAGCATCATCATCATCACAGCCACCACCACCATCATCATCATCACAGCCACAGCCATCATCATCATCATCGCCATCTTCGTCATCACTTTCTGAAGCTCAAAGATTATTAGATAGATTGAGGGCAATGTAAGGCGTTGATGCTGATGTGATGATAACGACGATGATGTTTGGAGGAGGATGATGTTGGTGTGGATATTGTTCAATTGCAGCTTCTTTCCATGCATTCATTTATCTTCATCATTCCCTCTTCACGTATTCATCATCACTGATTTTATCATGGAAGTGATAGCAGCGATACCTGAAATGCCTTGTTACTCAGTTATCTTTAGTGTCCGTTGAATGTTAATGCTATACATGTATCATGCTAATCGTTCTTCTTATTAACAAATTATTTTATTAGCTGTCAGTGACGGTTCATGCATGCATATAAAGTTCTATTCATATATATATATATATATATATATATATATATATATATATATATATATATAATATTTATATAGTTCTATTCTCATGTCAGTTTAGTTATTTAATTTCGATTCGTAGTGATGCCTTTTAAAGATGTACTTAACACTACCAGCTAATTTGAGATTGCTCCTCCTACTCGAACTCTTGCTGAATCACGTGCAAACATATCCGCACCCGCGCCATCGTCAGGATCCAAGAGTCGTCCGTTGATTGAAACTTTCAAATAGGTCGTTATTCTACTGCGGTTTAGAGCATTCAAGTTTTTTCTTGGTCTGTCCTATTGCTTGTGTAAATATATTTTTCTCATATATATATACATATATATAAAAACATTTATCTATATAATTATCTGTACATATGCGATTTTTTATTCTCTGTTAATGGCTTAATCTAATGTATGCACTAAATTCCCTACTTTCACACCAACCAGATGCAACTCAAATCTGATTACCGGTACATCAAAAAGTTATTTTATCTGTGAGCGTGTAATTAATCATTTTTTATTATCATTCAAGTGAAATAAATGAACGTTGATAAATGCGTTGAGATAAGAAATTCTTAACCTACCTTGCAATCATGTTTCTCTCCAATGAGGTTCAGTCTTGCGTCACGTCCTTGCATAGTTCTTCTGCCTTCCACCCTGCAACAAAATTCCATGCGTTCCAATCATGAATGTACATACTATATCCATTATTATATATTATTATTACATATATTATATCCGCGCGTTCCAATGCTTATTTAGAAAGAGTCGTTCTAATCATAATTCTTCTATAATTTTAAATGAGTGAACAACTGTTTCGGGGTTTATTTCCATGATATTTTAAAAACGCTAGATGTAGAAACTTCGGATAAAAATTATTACAACAGACTTTTGGATAAGAATACTTAATAATCTTTTAGTCTCAATAATTTTTATATAACATTAATATACAAAATAAAAAACAGCTATAAGAAGTGTATATCTATAGTTTGAAGAGGCACGAACAATAACTGCAACTCAACTCTTCATCCGTCCATCCAGATACTCAAACTTAATCTATAAATTTATTCATTTACTTACAACACCCACCAATCATTCATTTACCCACCAATCCATCCATTAATGACTGAAAAACTACAATGCACCAACTACTGACTGATGTAACGAATATAGTATAACATGGGAGTTGGAACACGAACGAACTGACCAACGAACGGCGTACCTAATAAAAACTTACCTTTTTAATTCACTGAACAATTATTGGCATTTGTAAGCATCAAACAGCATTAATTCCTCCAATCAATTAAACATTCGATCTCATTTCAAGTCTTCATCGCTAATTTGAATCCCAATCGTTTTTTATGTCCTAAATTTTAATGCGGCTGGATATATCATAAATAAACTTAACTATTTACATCACACAAACTAAACATTTTACTTAAACACACTGACAAGCATCTACACGCACATATGTATAGGTATAAATATATATGTATATATATATATATATATATGATATAAATTATAATAACACTTCTTTGGAAATTAAGCATTCGTAAGTCATGCATTCAATCAAACAGTTCAGTGAATGAATAAATAAGTGAATGAACGAATAAACTGATATTTTAAACATGAAATAAATAATATAAATTAATAGTCAATTGTAGTATTTAACGTTAGCATGTAAGTGGTATGAATTGATGCATTGTAATCAAATTCTATTAGAAGATGAGTGAGACATGACACGGCACTTAAGGACGACGAAATCAGTTGAAAGAGGATAATAAGAGGAAATCTTACACACGCAGAAAATAATTATAATAAAATATTAATATTATTTCATCATTGTTATTTTCGTATTACCGATAACACTTCAAACTATTTACAAAGTACAAACGAACTAACTTACGCGCGCGCGGGCAGACACATACAAACTATTTACATAATAATCAGTGCTACACACATCACATCATTTCATCATTGAGAGGAACGGTGATCAGGCTCTTCATAAGCAGCACCATCATCATCTGCCATGCTGACCATATCGTAGACCATGTTGGCTCGTCTGATGGCCTCGTCGATGTACCGGTCGTCAGAAACACCGACCACCCCATTGTTGTACATTCCAACTGCGTTCGGGGCGAGTCCCATTCCAACTGCGTTTGTGGCGAGTCCCATTCCAACTGCGCTTGTGGCGAGTCCCATTCCAACTGCGTCCGTGGCAAGTCCCATTCCAACTGCGTCCGTGGCAAGTCCCATTCCAACTGCGTTTGAGGGAGCAAAATCATTGAAGACAACATCGTTGCTGTGGGGAAGATGAGTAGATGAGGTTGTCGTCGTGTTTGTCGTCGATGTCGCACTGAGGGCAGTGATTTCAGCGAGGGATATGATGTTGCGAGGCTGTGGTGGGCAGGTGCTGATGAGGTTCAGCTCTAGTAAGTCCTGGGCCACGTCCAACAGCATCTGTGGTTGTTGTTAGTCAGAATATTAAGTTACGACAACAGTTGTTATTATATTACGACAACAGTTGCAATAAAGGATCACTTGTGGAGACAGCCAACCAACCAACTAACCATGTCATCAACTGATTTGAAGAGTTGAATGCATGGGACTCCATTGTCAGCCACGCCAACCACACTCACACACAGCTGCACATCCCTCGTCAACTCCTCCAACCTCCTTGCACTCTCTTCCGGGTAGCCATTCATTCCTTATGGGTGGTCATTATAAGGTTTGTGTTTATGCATAATAATTTTTGATAAATATTTATGAGATGAAGATTATGATCGGCAATCAGGTGGCCATTATGAATGTTAATGAGGTAGGTGAATGTTAATGAGCAATGTCTGCAGTACGAACCAAGAGGTGGGTAGACGTTGGCCAAGTAGCACTCGACGGCTTGGAAGGGTAGGTCCATGAAATCATTTCTGCATTTTTATTGGTTGAAATCAAAGATCAATAATTAATAAATTATTTAATTTTATAGTTAAAAGAAATGTTGTTGAATGCTCAAAAGTTGAAGACTCAACAAATTTAAACACTCCCACCCTACAAGCATAAACTGCACGGAGGAAAAGAAAATATATGATCGATGGATGAGACAACGTTTTGCAAAGTAATTAAATTTAATTACCTCTTAGTAGTTGCCACTTCAAAGTCATCAAATGCTGTCTAAATACTGCTAACTAAATAACTAATAATCTCAAAAACCTCTTAAATACTGGGGCGAGTATTTAAATACCATTCAAGCATTTGAAAATCCTAAATATCTAACAACACTGACAGTTTAGAAGTGGTATAAATAAATCAATTTATCATCCAATGAGATTTGCACAATTGAATGATGAAATGTTATCAGCCAATGAAAAGCAACCTGATAAGAAATAGATCACTGGCCTTGACCTGCTCGTAACCTCCATAATCAACAAACCTAACAATGTAGGTCAGATCATCATCATCACCATTACCATCTTCGTCGTTATTGTAGCTGGCTCCATCCTTCCTGTTATTCAAAACTTGCGTGACCAGGCTCCTGTACCAGCCACCATTGATCCCGCATATGCAAAAGGTGTAGGCTGAAAATTAAAATTAACATAAATTATTCACATTCATTTACTTATTCACATTCATTCACTTTCTAGTGTCGGGTGAAAAAATTTCATTCTGATAAAATCTCAAACGGCAAAAAAGTTCTCCCACTCTGAATTCATAAAGGATAAGGATGTAAAGCGACGTAACCCACTCACGCATGATCGGATGAGGAAGGTTCATACTGTTGCCAGCCAGGCGAGAATAACACGAATAAATGTACGATGAGAGCATGGGAAGCAACTGGAAGGATTGGTGGAAGGGCAGATGGATGAATAGGTGATGGGCGGACACAATGTTCGCAACCATGCCTGGAAACATCTCTGATGACGGTAACTCGAGTTGCTGTCAAAATAAGAAAGTGTTAACGTTTTTGAAGTTGAGAAGTTTATGATCTCCATGAAGCAATCACACATTACCCCAGGGTGAAAAATTAAGCAATGAAACTGCAGAAGGAACCAACTTGAAAGGCATCAGAAGTGAAGAACATCGGACTGGCTGAGGCAGGCAGTGGGTCGTCAACAATGCAAACATCAAAATTTATTTCTGGAAACTTCTTAGGAGGAAATCTTTCTTTCAGCAGCTTCAGGGCCATCTTGATGCATTTTTTTGTTCCATTAATGATGACGATTTGTTTATCACTGGCTCCTCCCGCTGATGCACTTTCAGACCTTCGATCGACGAAGATCGACGTGTTAGATTCACTACCGATCGCATTGACGGTCCTTCCCTTCCTACCAATCAGCAGGCCGCAGAGGTCCCCGGGGAATTCAAATTTGTAAGTTTCGATGCTGGTGTCTTCACATACCGCTGTGGCTGCTTCTGTGGCTGCTGCTGTGGCTGATGAAGTTGCCGCTGATGTTGATAGAAGCATGCCATCTGATTCCGATGTGGTCTGAGGGTGTGGTTGTTGTCATTAATGTTAACATTGCAGTGCAATCAGGATTGCATGGGCGAGGGTTATGGTGACAAAATGGTGATGGCCTGAGTGTGACTGGTGATGAAAATGAAAGTAATGTGGTGGTCTGGTAGCGCTTGACTGACGTACAATTTGTGGCTAACATTGCAGATAATAAAGTAGTAGTTGAAATAATAATAACAGTTAAAACAAGAACAAAAGTGATAAGACAATGGAAAATAAAAAAATATTAATGCTTCTATAAAATGTATGCAGCCAACGAAAATACAATTGTTACAATAATATTCTTAGTAACGAAAAAGCATATGTATAGAGAGCATATAATTATACATCCAAGAAAACGTGCATACGTCTGTATGTATAATATACATGTAAGTTAACTCCATATAAGGCAATGTTGATAGATATTATGTATGTAAGTATGTACATACATATCAACAGCATTATGTTTGGTATACAAGTCAAAATGTTTTCATTTAACTGCACCATTGTAGTGCAAATGAAAGTGTATATGCTGTGCACATGCATGCATGTATGTATGTATGTATGTATGTATGTATGTATGTATGTATGTATGTTTGTTTGTATGTATGTATGTTTGTATGTACGTACATACACGTCTATATACACAAAAAATATTTACAGACCATTACTAACTAAATGCTTAAACTTGTACTTACATTCAGGAGCTAACTCATGTTGGAAGCAATGTTTTATAATGATGTGATTGTAGTGGCTAAAATTTTTATGTACAAATTAAGCATTGCTATCAGGAGCAAGTGAAAAATTGGTCTGATAAGGAAAATAAAAATGATGATATTGATATGATGAAGTTGTCTATGAACATGTCATGAATAACAAACATTCATACATATAATGAAATAATTGTAATAGAAATGATTCTCACTCACTCACTCACTCTCACCCGAATTTGATGATCTAGACCCTCCTCTGCAAAAACTTCATCACCATTTCGAAAGTTTTCATCACTGTTCATATTTGCATTGCCAGTGTGGCTGGCTTCTGCTGCAAGACCATCCCGGTAAGTGTTTGCATTCTCATCATTGCAGCCTCTCAAAGACCCAGACAATGATTGGTCAACCGTCGGCTTCATATTGGTCGACCGCCAATTAAAATCATTAAAACCATCTGCACCGGCAAACTTTTTTCTATTATTACCATTACCGCTGCTCGGTCGGTTCTTCCTGAAATGAATGTATTTATCATCTTCCTGATGACGATTGTGGTGGTGGTGATGATCTCGACCTCCATGTTGATTGTTTGAGTCGTCTGCAGCAGATTTCGCAACATCATCTGGTTTACTCTTACTTCTTCTGTCGTTATAACTGTCATTGTTGTTGATGGTATTATTTTTATTTTTGTTCTTATGCCTTGAACTTCTAGTTCTCCTGACACTTTCCTTATTGTTTTTGGCATTTGTTGTGGTTGTTGTGGCTGCTGTTGCATAGTCATTTGGTGGACAGTTGGACTGCCACAGAGGAGTTAAGGTCGACGTTGTGTCAGTGTTGTTGTTATTGTCAGCATTATTGAAGTATGTTTCTATGGGGCTGATGGTGCTATCTTCATCTATGATGTCAGACCAAAGGTGATGATGTTCGGTGGACTGATGTTGTTGTTCGTCTCGGTCAAGTCGATGTTGTGGCCGATGAAGTTCTTCTCCTTCCACAACTGATTCTGAATGTTCATGTTGCTGTTTTATTAGATGATCAGATTGTTCACACTGTTCTCTGAGTGCTTGCAAGGCTGCTTGTTGTAATTGTTGTTCAGGTGGTGGTTGTTGTATTTGAGAAACTTCAGCCTGAAGAAGTGTTGCTGCTGTGACCGG